CCCAGTATACACTGACATTAATTAGTGCTACGTTAGTCTGTGGAGGGGATGAATATTATAGGCAGGTAGGTCAGATAGTTCCCTAGACATTTTGATGTAATCCAAACTTGACCAAAACTTCTTGTTACACATCTCCTTTCAGTGCTCTTGTCCCTCTGTCCTGTCTGTGGTCCCCCTCTCATTGCCTGTGTGAGGGAGAATATGTTAATGCCATTGATCTGTAAACAACAACAGTATGAAATCTTTTACAAATGTTGTGTGTGTCTGGTTCATCTCCATTTCAGGTCATAAAGAGTTGGGGTTTAGATTTTGTTTGTGGTTTTTGTTTTGATTTTTGTTTGGTTTTGTTTTGTTGGTTGCTTATTTGTGTTTTTTGGGGGGTTGTTTGGTTTGGGTTTGGGTTTTTTCCTTCTTTTTTTGGTGTTTTGGTGGGTTGCTTGGGATTTTTGTGGGCTTGTTTGTTTGATTTGTTGTGTTTCAATGGGTTTTTTCCCCTGCCTTTGTTCCCCTGCCTCGCTCTTTGTTGCAGCAGGAGGAGCTCAGAGAGGGAGTTTGTTTTTTCAGTTAGAGCAGTGTGTGTCTGCATTGTTAACTTCATGGTTATGATGAAAGACTGCTCTAGGTGAGTTGGGAGGGTGTTGAAAGGACCATCAAACTCAGAGAAGTGTTTCCAGTCCAGACTCCTCAACAGAAAATATGTCCCTTGTTCTCATGGGCTTCTCCATGTAGGCAGTGTGACAACCAGAGGTCATGAGGAGAGAACTCATCCTGTGTGCAGGAAACTTTACCACAACGTGCTCAGCACATTTCTTGTGAAGAGGGTAAAGGTTAATTTGGGATAAAAACCACTTGTAAGCTGTTTCAGTTTCTGCTGGTAAAGTGACAGATGATGTTGAGAGGGTTGGACTTCAAACTTCCCTGTAGCAAAACTTACCATTTTCCATGGCATTGGACTGTGTTCAGCTTGATAAAAGCTGCTCTGCAACGTGAAACAGAGCTGTGCTTTTTCCTTTTTAGCTAACAGATGTGTGTTACAAATGCTCACTTCCACCTCTGGATGTGTATATTTTTGTGCTCCTAGAAGCACTAAAGGAATAAAAATATTTGAATCACAAGCGAAATTAAAACAGTATCTCATTAAGAAGATTGTTAATTGTATTTATGTTTTGAATACAAACAGTTTTAATTTGCATAGAGAACTAAGTGGCCTAAATTGCAGTTTCCTGTTAAAAGTACTCAAATATATTAAAGAGATAAAACTGAGTTTTTAGATTATTTGAGTTTACTGAAGTTCATAGTGGGTACAGGTCAAGAATAAATTTTGTGACTTAGAAACTTATCTGCAACTAAGTGGGATCTGTGGACAGGAAAGCAAAAAGAAAACAAACCACTTCCTGGTGCTGAAATGCCCTTTTATCTAAATATCACTGAAGGGTTGCATTTAGGGATTTCCATACTGCACAAATACCTTTGTTACCCATTTTCTTGTGAAAGACTTCTCCCTGTTCTTGCTGTAGTTACTCACTCCGAATCTATAGAGCAGCTTCAGAGAGTGACAAGAAGATTTTTCAGGCCAAACTTAATATTTTTGTCTTTGTTAATCAAGGTTCTGAGAGAAGGGGACATTTAACCAGATTTTGAGGGGAACTTAGACTTAAGAAGCAGACTGAAGGGGGAGTTAAAGCTTCTTTGTGGAGCTGACAAACTGGCACCTGCTGAGTGTGTCTTTGTGGGCAAATAATGCTAGTGGGAGGCAAAGGTTTGTATAGGATGTTGGCATCACTTGCATTCTTTTGTGTTCCCAAGGCCTAGATCATGGAATGAATGGACTGAAACTGTTGTCAGCCTATGGATCTGCAGTAGATATAGTCTGTGTTGCTGCCTCTGTGAGTTTGGCTGGAAGGATCTGACTCAAGGTGCCAAATTCAAGACTTTGACTTTTCCTGTTTTGATCTGTGCAAGGTTCAGGACATTCAGTTTCTCATTAAATGGGACAGAAAAGACTGTAATGAAAATAGCTCTTCATTGGAGAAGGTCTTAGCAGGGTTTAGCTGGGAGCTGCTGTCCTTTGAGCTGATGCTCTGCTCATGGACTGCCTCTTCAGCCATGAGTGATAGTGTTGATCCAGACTTCCACCTCAGATCCTTGCCTGACTAATAAAGTTCCTTGTATCATCTTTGAAACAGCAGTTGGAGGTGGGTTGCTGGAATTGCTAAAAGATTGAGTTTGAGCCAACATGTCAAATCTAGTTTCACTACCAAGGTTTTCTGTTGTTGGAGGTAATAAATAAATAATAAAAAACTCCCTGCATGCTAGTTAAACTAGAGATGCTGCTCTTACACAAAAGGCAACATGTTCATAACTTAGCATAATCAGGCATTTCTTCCTTTCCATTATTTTGTCCATATTTATATGGTTAATAGGATGTTAGTTGGAAACCAGGCCATGCTGCAGATCCAAATACTGTTTCGGGCAATATTCACTTTTATGATTTTGTGTATTGGTAAAACATTTTCAATCAGAGCAAATATTTATGAAGATGTTGTTTGAAGAATGCAGTTGGCTGAAGGAGTCCTCTTGATGTTTCAAAATGGATTTTTCAGGAACTAGAACCCTAATTGGTAAAGTTCAGGGAATGATTCTTACAGTCTGGAGAGCCTTGAGACCCTAAAACTAATTGCAATTCAGTATGTAACCCACAAGCTTTTTCACGCTCTCTTGGAGATGATGGTAAACTTTCAGTAGGATTACATCTCTGGTTGTTTTTTTTTAAAAAAGCATTAAGGAAACTGTCACACTCTCCCCTTTTTTCTATTATTTTCTTCATGTAGATGTATCAGTAACATTTAGCCTTCCACTGCTGTTGCATTTTTTACTTTGGTATGCCTTTTTACCTGATCCAATGCCATAAACCTAAAGCTCTACACTATGGCTGTAGAAAAGTACGGTCTCAAAGTAGACTTTGATTCAGTCAGTAATTGGAGTATCCTCTTTCTCCTGCTTATTGATTGATATGTGAATTGGAAAAATCCTGTTTCCTGCAGTTGTGTAAGGAGTGTCAAAAAAGTAGATGTTAGGCTGAAATAAGGTTTAATTTCACCTCACATGTTTATTTCAAGAAGTAGTTTGGTAGGAGATTTTTTTTCCCAAGGAGACAAACCAAAGCACTTCGCCAAAACAATTGCTGAGGTGAGGAGAATATTAGCTTGTTGTATAAACTAATCATCAGGCGTTTATTCTGGGGCTAAGATGATAATAATTTTTGCTTGAGATCTTGCAAGCAGAGTGACACCAAACATCCCACAAGCATCCCAAAGTTTCAGTCACAGAAGACACAAGGTCATGTAGCTGAGCAGGGTGGCATTTGCTTTCCACAACTAAGTGGCAGGTCTGGGGGTAGCAGGGCAGAAGTGGCATCAGATGAAGATCCTTTCTTCAGGTCATATGCTTTTGTGATAATAGAGTGACAAATAAATATTCACATAATACAAGGGAGGCTTGTTCAGAAGCCTTTTCTGAACTGTGGATGTGGCCTTTACCAATAATGGAGGTCAACAACAGCCTCTCATGTTTCTGTTGAAAGCTGGGCTTGCAGCAAAGCTTCGTGAAGTGCAAAGCTGCACAGCTTGCCAACATCCCCTGTCTGCTGTCTTAGTAGGGGCAAAGCCAAAGGCTATGTGTAGATAAATCATGCCATCTTCAGGAGAGGTTGCTTCAACATGAATTACATCAGCCTTTGCATTGCTGTCTGCTTGAATGGTACCAGTCTTTGGAAGTCCATTTAAGGACAGGTACCATCTAAGGAAACTCTTAATACTACCTTTAATTTGGTAAGAATGCTACTTACTTTGGTTTTTATCAAAAACTTGATCATAAGGTTGTAATTGTCATTCAGGAGAGGGATCAGAGCACCTGTTGTTTAGCTATGCATTGAGTAAAGGGAGCTCACCCCTGCCTGAGCTAGCACAGCTGTAGGAGGGATCCAGTTTGCCCAGCTGCAGCATCAGGACTAAGTGAGTAATTTAAATAATTTTTATAATTAGAGAGAGGGATCTCCATGGGGTGACTCATCCCACCTACCTTGGAAAATAGTGACTTGTTCTCTGGAGTGCCTGTGCCTCACCACTGACTATGCAGAGAACCTGCGTGGTGAGTTGAGATCAAACACCTGCCTCCTGTGTTCTTTAGGTGAGATCATATCTTTCTGTAAGTCATAAGAGCTCATGTTAAATTCTTAAGCAGTCTTGGGTAATTGGTAGGGTTGGTGATTAAATCAAACAGCTGAGACTGGAATTCCAAATTTCTTTTTCTGCAATATGGGATAAATGTGAGGTCTTAAAAGACATAGCCTTTTAATGTAAATGTACTTGAATGAGATTGTGGCATTACAAAGTATAAACCTTCATTTAACCTGTAGTAAGCCTAAAATAATTTGCTTTAACTGTATGCTCATTGCCAGCTCTTTGTAGAAGCATCCCTCACCTAGTACTTGCACCCAATGGAGTAAGAGACCTACATCCTGATCTTTTGAACTTCAGTGTTTTGGCACAGGAGCTTCTCTTGTGACAGTAACAGTAATAACTCTTCCAAACAACAATGTTTTGGAAGTTTAGCTGTAGAAAAGCAAGCATAGTAGCAAATGCTCTCTTAAACTCAATGTATCATACACATTCCTTTTTCTTAATAGCACCAAGCCTTTTGGTAAATATGTTTACATATATTTCCTACAGCTGTTCTACCCACTCACCAGATGCTGTCAGTCCTTTTCAGCATAAGCTTATTAGTTTGTGCTCCTGCTCTGGCTGGGTATTGCCATGACTAATACTCAGTAAGGTCCAGTAGAAGATCAGTTTTTCTATTTTAAGTAAACTTTATTGTGAGCACTGCTAATCAGAAGTTACATTTACAGTTAATCTGAGAAGGGTGCCTGCCCACTGGTTGTGATTTATATAGTATAAAAAGACTGTGAATTTATTATGATTATTTTGTTTATTTTTTAGATGTGGATTTAACTGATATTATGGTATACAAAATCCCTCCTCACATAAGGAAAAGAGCCCTCTGTAAGTATGATCCTTCTAAGTAATGTAAAGATGTATCATTAGATGATAAATTAATATTTAAAGGAATTTAAACAACAACAATTTAAAGGAATAGTTGAGGTCTTAGAGAGCCTTGGAAAATTACTACACTCAGTAATATTTAAATAGAAATAGCTTAAAAACAAATTATATACCTGACCCTCTTTTAACTTAGCAAGGATTGACCCTTTTTAATGATTGCAGAGATTTTAGCTGAAAAGCAGCCAGGCTTCTGAACCTAATTTCTGTCTGACTTTGGTGAACATGTTAGTTATTCTCTAATATGTTATTTGTAGGTTTGGGGGGAAGGGCCTATGGCATAAATCTCTGCAAGTACATTTTGTAGGTCTTTTCATCATGCAGTTGGGTTTAATAGACTTACAGACTGTTAAACATGACATTATATAAAGAGCAAACCAAGGAAAATCTATTGCTGGAAGAAAGGAAAAAATAGGAGAATGGAAAGCCTTGGAAACTGTCAAAGAATTTTGATAGAAGTTTTATTTTAATAAATATTAGGACATTCTGTACTATCTGAGAAAGGTTGGTTATTCACAGCCACTTAAACCTTAATAAATAGAATAAAGCTTTTTTACTGTGTGTGATCAAACCTTGGAACAACCAGGTTGGCTAGAGAGGTACATTCTTGTCCAAAACCAACTGGACACAGTCCTGAGAAGCTTCCTTTGAGCAAGGGGGTTGGATTGAATAAACTCCAGAATTTATCCAACCTCAACTATTCAATATGCATTGAAAATCTGCCTGCTTTAATATTTGGCTGTCAGAAATTATATCTATAGGCAGAGTGTTGTTTTTAATGTGCTGTCACGGAGTTTCAGAGCTTTGGGGGATGGGATTTTCACAGATCTCAATTTCTGCTTCTTCCATTCAAGATTTTTTTTCCTATTTGGAATTTACTTATGACATATTATACAAACCTAACTTGAATCAAATTCTTAGTTCTGGGTGGTAACAGACTGGCTTACTTTGTAGGCAAAGTCCAAATTCTTTCCTCCTCCTCATTTAAAATCTAATTTCTGAGCTGAATGTAGATGGCCAGGGCTGTGTTCAGTTCAGTTGTCTTACATGCTTAACTTGCATTTGAATTTTTGATGTCCAGTGAAGCAGTGATAGTTAACAAGAAGCTTGGGTACCCCAAGGAGAGAGGAAGATTTTTTTGAAATCCTCCAGAGAGATATACTGACTAATTAAATTCAGAGACTTAAGCAGGTTGAATGTTCCTTTGGAGGCCTTCTGACAGATTTAAAGTGGTGGTTTAGAACAAAATGTAAGCTAGGTGCCTTATTTAATTAGAATGCATCTTGCTCATTGTTAGGTCCATCAACCTAAAAGGAAAAGAAATATTCTCCCATTTTGCAGTGTGGTTCAAATGTTTTGTAGAATGAATGAGAGGCTGCTGGGAAGGTGTTAGTTACTCTATTGTACTTTTCAGGTTTGTCAGATTTTACTCCTCACTTGCTAAATTAATGGAGTTTGTCATAAGAGTGTGAAACAAATATGGAAGTTCCATAACTGCCGTGCTAGCACAGTTGATTGAAGGAATGTTCACATTTAAAATCATAACCAAGTTTTCTGTAGGCTTTCTTTCCTGCTGTAATTTTTCACTTCATAGGCATTGTGAGGGGAAGGACTGTCATGGATATCTGTAGTCCAAAAAAGTGTAGGGTGGAGGAAAAGCACAGATGCTGCCATCTGCCACATCAGCAGGCATCCCTTTTTGCTTTTTCTTTCCACCACCATCCCAGAATTTCAACCTCTCTCTGTCTGAGTAGGCTTTATTTATAGTTTTCATTATCCCTTTCTCATGGCAGTAGAGCCTAGAACAACACAGTGTGCTGACACTGACAACATTTCCTGCCCTTTTGTTCGGTGCTCCACCAACCTGTTGTCCCTTTGTCCTTATCCCTGGTGCCTCCTCTGCAAACAGAGGCCCCATCTGACAAATTTACTTGTGTTCCCCAGGGTTTAGAAACTGGGAAACTTCATTAAGGATGGTTTAATAACTTAGACAAAGGAGAAGAGCAGCTGGTCTGTTAACGTGTCTCTCTCAAGCCCCATTCTCTGTCAGAAAAGTTTTCTTGCATGTGTTCCAGTTTTCAACAATGTACTGTAAAATGCTGCAGATGTAGAGTTCATGAAAATGAAATTACTATGCATTGGATCTCCCTTGAGCATTTTGTTTGAATGACCTGAGATGATTTTATGGCAGTAGGTTTGCTGCTGATAGTGACCTAAAATTTTGGTGTATGTTTTTGCTTTCTCTGTTGCTTAGCATGGTGATGTTAGAGGAATAGCAGTTGGAGACAACCTGCTGCACTCTGCTACTCTGTGAGGCAAACATCCATAAAGCCAAGCAGCCAGAAAAGAAGGGCTCTTCATGAGAAAATGACAGCAAGAGAACACAGCCCCCGCCATGGTGCCAAATCCCGCACTGTGCAGAGGGCCTCCACCATTGATGTCACCTCTGACATGGTTGGCCTTTCTCTAACAGGTTTGTACCTTCCTGGCAGCTACTGCTCTGCTGCTGCTCCCTCCAGAATCTGCCTTGTACTAATGTTGTTTTTTCTCTCTTAATTGCTCAAAGATTTAGATCTGTCTGGTTATCTGGAGGTAATGAGATAAAGGAATTATGCTAAAAAATTCTAAAAATCTTGAATTTGCTACTTTTAAAATAGACAAAACATTAAAATCAGAGAGAGATTAAAAAAATAAGTTAGATTTTGTGTAGTTATGTTTATCACTCAAAAATAAACAACAGGGAGAAAATAACAAAATAATGTCACGGTCTAGAAAGAGTCTTGGCAACCTCCTTGTTTGACATTGTATAAAATTTTCAAGACAGTTCAGGGAGCTGAGGCTTGTCTCCCTTATCTTTTATGGTTATTAAATTAGGATTCTAACCCTCAGAGGCTTTCTTTCATTAGTGAGAGAGACAGGTACTTTTAAATTCTGGCCTGTTAGCTACCACAGATTTAATAATTTGGAGCTAATAGTGGCTCATACTTTAATCCTGTTGTTTTCTATTGAGATTAAGCATTTACTATTCCCATATTGCATATAATCTCACATAGATTTACATATTTTAATATGTTTTATAAACTGAGATCGTCCCAGATTTTCCAAATAATTATTAGATACCAAGGATTACCAGATAAGTTTTTCAGATACCAGTCCTGGCTCACTGAATTTAAAAAAAGTATTTTTTTATAAAATGTAATTTATTTCTCTGTGTGATTGCAACTTCAGGAAAGAATTCACATGGCAGTGATGTGAATTAGCTAATCTTGTGATTTTTCTGTTTTACAGGAAACATTCAGGATCCAGATGAGCCGATTTTAGAGTTCAGTTTAGGTAGGCTTAGTGATTTTTATGCTAGTTTTGATAATGCATGCTGTTGAATAGGTGTGGGGTTTTGTAAGTGTTGATTTTGAAGTGCATTTCATACAGGAAGGTTTGCAACTTTGCTCTGATTTTTATGGAGATGTGGTACAGTTTTTGTGCTGCCTGTACAGTATCTTTTGATAAGTAGTGAGCAGTTTCATGTTGTGAAGTTTCTAAAAGTCTGTAACTGAAACATCGGCCTAAAAAATTTTTAATGTTTACTGTGTGAATATTATTATTAAATGTTTACTTTGTTTATGTGAAGATGCAGTGAAACTGCCTTCACTGTCAGTAAATCAGCAGTTCAGGTCTTCAAGCAAGCTGAAGATTTGCTGTAAACAGCATTTTAGGGCAGAATGGTTTCTAAGAATTGAGGATTACGCATAACTTCTTTCCTGGGGTTTTTGCTGTCAAGTGATAATGCAAGATGCAGAAGTGACCTGAATTGTGAGGTGGTTGAATTTGTACAAGAAGCTTGTGTATTGACTCACCTCACTTGAAGAATGAATTAATAATATTTCCTTCATGAAAATTCAGTCCACATTTTCAACTGCAGGATGTTTTTCTTGGCTTAATAGTGGACTAGTATTTGAAAGGTTATGTTTTTAACAGTAGGCTAATGAAAAATTAGCAAATTTTCTCAGTTGTGTGTAATTGTGTTATGAATAATAATCTTAACAAGCATTCTCAGAGCTGAATGAGGTATTTCAATTATTTTCAGATAAATTAAAAATTAGAATTACAAATATCTAGAATTATAAAGCTGTTTAGCCAAATATCAGATTTAACTTCCTGCACGTAGCTGAAGCAGAGTTGGACCACACTGTAGCTACCTGTATCTAGCCAGATAGAATTTGGCTGTGAAGTTTAATGTAATTGTGTAGAGTCACTCACTGAAATTTTTGGAAGTTGTTTCCTCCTCACCATAGTCCTTTTCCCAGCAGTTAAACTCACAGCAACAGTTTAGAGGAAATAAATTGCTGTCATTTTACAATTACAAGCTGGTTTTCCTCAGTAGTGCTGCTTGATCAATGTTCAGACGCTTCTGTTGGTTCTCCCTGGGCAAATGCCATTTGATAATGGGCCTAATGGAGCGTGACTTCGAATCGAATGCAGCCACGGTCATGAGATTCCCAGGGGAAAACCTGCACATGGGCTGTTAGGATGAGCTTGCCAAGGGGTGGATAAGCATGTATTAGAAGAGAACAAGTTTAAATTGCTGCTCCAGAGCTTGGAGCCAGACTGAGCTGATTGCATGTTTGCTGTTTGCATGCACAAAGGTGGGTGATATCTGCTTTTATAGTGTGGTGATAGAATGAATATTAAGCTCTTTGTTGTTTGATTGCTCAGGGTGTATAATGTGGTTTTATAAAAATGTAGAGTCTTACAGCAATATGAAAAAGATCCTGAATCTAAGTTTACTTATCTGTTGCATACCTAAAGCTTGCAGTGAGCTGCTAACTCCATCGCTAGATCGAAAACCAAATAGTTTTGTAGCAGTGAGTGTAACTACACCTCCCCAGGCATTCTGGACGAAGCATGCACAGACAGAAATTATTGAGGTGAGTGCTGAGGTACTTCTAGATTAGATTTAAAATCAAAGCTAACACAGGAATCATTTCTTCCTTAACAAATATCACCGTACATTAACTTTTGACTTTTTGTTTATGATTACAGGGAACAAGTAATCCTATCTTTCTAAGCAGCATTGCCTTTTTCCAAGACTCTCTTATCAATCAAATGACACAAATCAAACTCTCCGTGTATGACGTCAAAGATAGATCTCAGGGAACAGTAAGTTTTCTTTATTCTGTTGCCTGCCCAGTCAGTGTAAAGCAAGGAAATGAGAGGCAAAGAGATAAAATTAGTAACTTCTGTGGAAGGAAACAACAGGAGAGCAGCACTGATCATATAGAAAACAAGATGGGTAGGGAAAGGAGGAACTAATGAGATTGGCTTGGCAGAGTGAGAAGCATTGCCAGTTTTCTCAAATAAGGCTTGTCTGTAGCAAGTTTGGAAACAATGGATTTAAACAAAAAAGGTCCTGTCACTTGTGCTCTTACATTGTGGATATCTTTAGTGAACTAGATAATGAATAGAATCCAACATCCCCAACTGAGGCTTCTAGACTGTGCCAAAATGCCAGAATGAAACTGTCCTTTGGAACAGAGCACCTAAATTCTGGGAATCTCCCTGCCCTGATACATTGATTTTGTTCAGGGGTAAAGTGTGTTCCTTTACTGAAAAAAAACTATGTGTCAGCATTCCCGTGTTGCTACTTGGATTTATGGGCAATACAGGTCAATTATTCTCCGACTGTTGTCCAGAATACTGTTTCAGGCCCCATGTGTCTGCTCTTGTATGGCTTTCTCAGGGGCAGCAGAGCTGTCCCTCTCTGTTCAGTGCTTCAAGGAGAGGCTCTAGGGAAAAATAAATACCTCCAGAGGAAGTCAGTTCTTCAGAAGGAGACAAATTTGGGTCGAGGATGCAGCCTGAGCCCTGTTCAGTCATGGCTTTCAGTGTTCCTGAATTGCTTGCCCTAAGCTCATATATACTGAGGTTCCTCCATGTTTATCCTAGAGAAAGAAAAATGCATATTTTCTCCAATAGAAGAAAAACTTTTATAAATTATCAAATATATTAAATTTGAAGAGATTTTAATTAGTTATATGTGGCGTATTTTGTTATGGTTTTGCTCTTGAACTTGTATGCATAATAATTGTATTTTACACTTCATTGCTGTGGTCAAAGCCTCTGCTCACTGTAAAGGTAAATAAAATTCTGGCACTCATCTTCTTTCAGATGTATTTGTTGGGTTCTGGGACATTCACTGTAAAGGATCTTCTTCAGGAGAAGTACCACAGGTTGCACATAACACTAAGGTTTGTAATATTTTCCTTCTTTTAATTGTTAATTCTTCAAAACATGCTTAAGATGAGATGAAAACCTCTTATGTCAGGAATAGGTTGAAATGGACTTAATTAAACTCCCTTGTTTTGATATCAAGTATATTCTGATTATCAAAATGTGTGAATACATGCATTTCTTCTCATTGCCATGTTACCCTTAAATGTATAAGCTGAGCACAGAGTAATACCCAGGCTGCCTTCAATTCCATGCAGCATCCTTGTGGAATAAAGGGAATGTTCTCCTGTTGGACTAACCCATTATAAAATTATTCCAAATGAAGTTGAAAAGCTTCCTGTTTAAAATGTTTTTTAAGTTTGAAGATTAATATCCTTTTATAAGTGTTTCCTTGTTGATGAACAGGTCCTCCTCCAAAAAAATCTCAACGCAGAGTATTTGTTGCAGGTCGGCTGAAAGTGACCGTGTTGGTAACATCACAGTTATTGGATGGCAGATGGAGGAAAAATCTGACCAAAGGCCTCCAGTGACAAGGTCACCTGATACAATTAATGGAAGGGTGAGTATGAGCCTTGGACCAAATTCAGAAGAATGCAGATTTATTGCCAACATTGAAATAAGCTAGATTGATATCTGCCATCCACTTTCCTGTCTGGCTTGATATTTAGTAGTGCTTTACATTTTCAAAATAGTGTAAGGAGCAGCCTAATGGTGATGAAGCCATTTTGAGTTTTGCGGAGCTCTTGGTGCTGACATGTAGAGTTAAAAGTCTTGGGGAAAAGTTTTAATTTAAAATTATTAAGCTTTAGTATCAAGTATTCATGTTCTTCATTGGAAGAGGCTTCTGATACTGTTCATTGGTGCACTTGGTGCATGGATAACCAGTTTCAGAAACATATGGTATTTTAGTTCACATTGTGGTTTGGAAGGCACGATTAAGCAAAACTGTAATGAAGATGCTAGGGAATTCCCAGAATTGTTTGAGAGCAGATGTTTGCAGTACTTTCTCAGCCTAGACATATATTTAATTCTGTAAAGCTTGTGTTTTGAGTATCTTGGTGATAATTGCACTGTTATATGTGTATTATATTCACACTGTGCATTAGAATCCCTTTTTATCCTCCAGATCTGTTCCAGATTGATGCAGTGCCTGTAAGGACTCTGGAGCTGTGCTAGCATAAGTAATTGAAAGACTGGATGAAAAGTTTTGTGGCATTTTGAACTGTGCAGTAGAATTAAATAGGAATGCTTAGGATTTATTATTCCAGCCTGCGATATTTTTTATCCACAGAAAAAATATTTGAAATATTTATTTAAAGCATATGTGGACTTGAATATTTCTTTGAAGTCTTTCTGATAGGTCATCACTGCATATTATTTGGGCACTGAGGTTTCATTCTTTACTATTTCTGATTTTTCTTGTTTTTGTTTTTGTTCAGACTGTGTTGCCAGTTGATGAAAGTTTAACAGAATCCTTAGGAATCAGATCCAAATACGCTTCACTGCGGAAGGATGCACTACTGAAATCTGGTAAGCTGCCCTGGGCTGTAACAAGTAAGCTTTAGGTATCAATAAAAGCTAATTTCTCCCTGTGTGCCTGTGGCCCCAGGGCATTTCAGCAGATGTTTCATTTGAATAGGAACAGGCTGCTGATTGAGCAGTCCTTTCAGGGTCATACCAGAATAAATCATTTTATCATATGCACCATTCTATATTGTAAAAACAGCAGAAGCAAACTCTTGCCATTAGATTGACTGCAATATAACATTTTCCATACAATTTCATAGTCTATTTCTAAGCAATTGTTGCAGGTTGAGGAGAGGGACAGAGGAAAGCAAGTTGCTTTAAAAAAAGAATCTTGCAGAAGGGTTAGTTTTCCAGCAAATGGTTGCATGAGAGGAAAATGCACAGTACACAGACAAAAAAAAAGGCATTTTAAAAGGTGAATATGTATTTAGTTTAATTTCCTTAGCAGTGTAGTAAGTAATTTGGAGTGGAGGCTTTTCCTACAAACACTTGAAGAATGGCCATTGCAGAATGACTGTGCTTGCAAAAGGCAGACTGATGCCTGGTTAAACCAGATCTTTACAGCAGGGTGTTTCAGCATGTTAGTGAGCTGACTAACATGCTGAAAGCATTGACTTTAAGAAAGAAGAGACTTTGTACACTTTTAAGTCAAACCCTAGGCTTAAAAATATTGTTTTAATTCTTTAGTGTTTGGTGGTGCCATTTGCCGAATGTATCGTTTCCCAACCACCGATGGAAACCACTTGAGAATCTTGGAGCAGATGGCAGAGAGCATCCTGTCGCTGCACATCCCAAGACAATTTGTGAAGCTGCTTCTAGAGGAAGATGCAGCAAGGTGAGTGTTGGGATGGTTTACACGTGCAGTAATATGGCAGTGATGTGGCTGTTGCTGAGTTACAAAGGCATCGATTTATCTGTGTTAATGCACTGACTACTCAGTGAGATAAGAAATGGCTTTGAGAGTCAAAAGAGTAGTTATGAATTGAAAACAAAACAGAATAAAAACAAGTAAAATGAAATGCTGTAGTACAGTAATGACATTGCCTCATTTTAGGAAGTGGGAGGGAGAAGGAAATCTGTTAAGCATTTTGTAGGTTTATTCTGAATTTTCTTCTTTTTGAAGCAATTAACTTTCTTCCAGGCAACATACTCCTTTATGAGTATTTCTTCTCTACATTTGTAGGCTGTGGTTTGCAAATCTAATGTTTTATTATTCTTTGTAAAGGCCAAGATTGGAATGTTAAAGCATTTTAGCTGTGTTTTTGAGTATTGGGCTTTTATTTTGACTGTATTTGAATCAAATCCTAGAGACCTTAACTAAGTCTGACCTTAATTAATACTAACTAGTGCTCTCATTATTTTATATTGGGACATTTCAGTTCCTTAAGGATATTGTGAAATAAAATCATGGGTTAATCCATTAATTGTAGGTATTTTCATATTTTGTGAAAGTGATAAATTTTCACAGGAAGATGGCAGAGATTTTTTGTAATGCATGGGAAAACTAATTGAGTTTCTCAACTTCACATTAATTCTTTTTTCTGATGTTATGTTTTTAGTGATGTGTGCTTAGATTCTAGAAATTGAATGCTGTATCTTGTTCAGCTGTCCTACTACAACCTTGGTGGAGCAGGCTAGGGATATGCCATTGCACATTTAGTCATGAGTTGTTTTTTATTTTGTATCTTTGTTTCTCTACAGCTTTCCTCACAGTAGATTTAAAAGCACCTATTCATTATGAGGTACAACCATGATAATGAAGAGTTGGCAAGCTTATCCATAAGATGCCATGTATGATGGATGTAGGTTAAGGACTTGAAAATAAGGAGAATTTAGGGTGAATGAGCAAAAAGATGTGTCTTTCTGTAAAACTTTAGACAGTGAAGTTAGAGGCCTTGGCCATGAAATGTGACTGTTCAGAGGCTCTTGCTAAAATCCTGCAGAGATCAGTGGATGCCTGTTGTAAACAGGTGCAGGTTAATAACAGCCCAGGTGATTGTTAATGTGACCTTGTATATGTCCACTGGGTGGCGTGGCTCAAAGGTAAATAGGCCTTTGTGTAATTACTGAGAAAGGCTCCCTTGTCTCTGTTCAGTTGAGGTGACCCTCAATAATGTGCACAATCACACTTTGTATTCATAGAGTTGCTCAAATTTGACCAAGTGCTCTGTTCTCCATTCTCAGTGCTGCAGCCCAGAGGAATGACAGCTACACAAGCACAGCTGTTTCTGTCTTCACATCCTGGTGACTTTTAAAATGTCCTTGGATAATCACAATTGCTGTCTCTTAGATAAAACTCCTCTGGGCCAGAGCCCTTTGAAAGGAAGCATCTGCTGGGGGGTGTGATATTTTGGCTGCATCATTATTTATGGCATCCATATTCCTTGCTGTCTTGGCTCTAAGGGACAAACAAACTTGAGGTGGTAAGCTGTGAGTTTACTTCAGGAAGACCAGGGCTCAGATACATGGCTGGTTTTGAGTAGGGAGTTTGATGAGGTAATCATATTAGCATCTTATGCAGAAAGCAAGTTTTATGATGAAACTGGAAGTGTTTTTATCTAGGTCACTGATAAATATACTTTATGCTGTTGCCTGTTGGCAAATCAATGTAATGTTTTTCTTGGAAATTTAGTTTTTTTTAATAATATCCTAAGTACTATGGTGTGGGAATTGCTCTGTGAAATGTTGTCTTAAATTGTACACAGACAATTGGTTAAAACTATGGAATTAGGGATATTGAGATAATTGCAAAAAGAACTGCTGGATCCTTTTGACAGATGATTGTTCTGCCTTTTCTGGGGTAACGTTCTGTTGAATTGTGTCTGGTGTTGACTTGTTTATTTTTTCCCCTTTCTTCCTTTTTTCCAAATAATAATAGTAATCCAAGAAGAGAGTAATACAAGCATGACCTGGAGTACACTGAGTATTTTCTCAGCAGCACTGCTGGGGAACAGTATGTAACACAATATTGCTATGTGTGACTGGAAACCTGGCAGTCGGGGTACAAGGGAAAAGCCAGGGTTTTCCTGTTCATATCTATGGATGTCCAGTCCTCCTTTTTTGTACCCTGAGTGCCCAAAATCTTGGATTTCAGATGAAGGTTTTGTTGGATCATCTTCAGTCTCTCCAAACCCTTAATGCTCACACTTCTTAGGCTTTTCCTGGCCTTGCAAACTGTTGTGTACCTACCTTACCAGTGAATATACATCTTGTACCTAACATCAGATAGGTGCTAATAGCCCACCTAACCTCTGTCACAGTTCTTAATTAAAGAGCCACCACAGTTCAGTAAAGTGTCCTTAAAAGGTCCTGACTGTCCCAAGTCACCTGACACAATGACAGTTCCCATCATTTACCAATCCTTATATAGTTGGAGAGCTCCTGCAGAAAGGTGGGAAAAGCTCTGCTTGTGACCAGCACCTGAGGGGTGTACATGGAGGGAGTACAGTGTGTTCTGCCTGTGAGGAAGCAATTTACCTTGGAGTAGTGCTGTGCTCTGAGATGTGCTTGGGATGTGTGTTTGGAAGCTTTTCCAGTCTGGTGAGTAGCTCAGACACAGTAAATTGAGAGTGTGTCAGCTGAGGATGGTACTCTGTTGATACAATGTGAAACTCAGTCTAGTGGACTATGGACATAAACACCTCTCTTTCCCTCCCTCCCCATTTTTTCCCCCCAGGGTTTGTGAACTAGAAGAACTGGGAGAACTGTCTCCTTGTTGGGAAAGCCTTCGTCGACAAATAGTTACACAGTACCAAACAATTATTTTAACTTACCAGGAAAATCTGACTGACCTGCACCAGTATAAAGGTGATTTTTTTTTCTGATAAAAATGTGATGCTTCTCTACCAGGATGGTTAGTGCTTCTCTGAAATTGGGAACCCAGAATGTTTTATGATGAGTAAACAATGCTATTATATTTTTTGTCTTGATTAATAATTGTTGTGTGTTTGCTAATTACCTGGGAATATTTGTCTGTTCTGTTCATTCTCTTACTCTGCAAATAGAAGACAAGTGTGAACAGTAACAGAAAGATTTTGGTTTGTTTTTTCTTTTTAATTTTCTCTGCTTTATTTTCAGCATATAGCAAATTATGAATAAAGCTTCTCAAATGTTTTAGCATACGCACAAGGAGAAAGGTTTTATGCTTATTTTTGTCTTGCATTTCTCAGGTCCTTCATTTAAAGCCAGTAGCTTGAAAGCTGATAAAAAACTGGAGTTTGTTCCTACAAATTTACATATACAGAGGATGAGAGTCCAGGATGATGGAGGATCAGGTATTAGTTTCTCTTTCTTCACTGATCTTGTTACTTTTCTCTCCACCTTTTTTTTTTATTTCCTTCGTCAACCATACAGCCAAGTTTCTACAAACTACTGTAGCAATGCTACTTGGCATTTTTGTAGCGCCTTCTATTCTCAGATTCCAAATCTCTTTACAAAAGAAGAGATGGAAGTATAATTATTGCTGTTCTACAGGTGGCGAAACTAGATTCTGGGTTCTGGAGTTAACTGAACTCTAGGTGGCACAAGTTAGCCTTTGTACTAGGGTTGGGTTAAGCTGCTGCGTCCCTTCCAGACATTCTGAATTACAGTAGAATAAAAAAGGTTCTGACTGTTGTTTCTTGTTAAGCTTGTGTACTTTTTCTCCAGAATCAACATGTATGGTTATGCAAAATCACATTTTTTCACATCAAGCTTGTTTCATCATAAATAAACAGGGCTTTCTCTTCTTTTAACAGTAATTCCCTGTGACCATGGACACACACTTGTCACACGTGTCCATGTGAGGGATTCCAGTAATAGCAGGCTTTGTATATGTACCAGTGTTCAATACTTCTTTTTCACTGTCAATCTTCTAGATTAAGAAACAAAAGACCTGCATTAATGTATGGGTCTTTCACCTGAAAAAGTGTTTGATGGATTTCCAGGCCCTCTAGAACAACTCAGTTTTCCATGTCTTTCAAAGCATGGCAAATTTTCCCAGAAATTAATTTCAGAAAAGTTTTTGAATTTACACAATTGTTTGTTGATGTTAAAAATGACAGGTTTTCATTTGTAAGTCCTTTTTGTCCATTCCAGATCAGAACTACGACATAGTCACCATAGGAGCACCAGCAGCTCATTGTCAAGGCTTTAAATCGGGTGGTTTGCGGAAAAAGCTGCATAAATTTGAAGAGGCAAAGAAACAGTAAGTATAAATGCTATTGTGTCAGCTATTATTGTGCCTTTTCCTCCTGATCCATGCTCAGTTATTTGGAAAATCATTCCATTCTGTTTTTATTTGGTTCAATAGTACTACTATACAGTATTTTGCATTGAAGATTTTTCTGTGCATTTTTTTTTCCAAAGAAGGAGAGGAAAAACTGTTATATTACTGTATTTATTTGTTTACTGACAAGCTCTTTCTAAGAGTCTTTTTATAAAAAACTTTAATTTTTCTGAATATTTGTTGATTCATTTTAATTTAGCTATTTTAGGTGTTGGGTTTGGGTTCTGCCCAGTTGTGGGTCAGAACATTTGCTGAACATCCTCAGCTGCACTACATCATGCTTCAACCCATTATTTTCAGAAGACTTTCACCCCTCTCATAGCTACCGGGTCCTGTTGCTGAGCTCTCCTTAGTAGGAACCTGCTGCACCTGATTGGTAAATTCCTTGTGGACAAAACAGGTTTAGTTCTGAAGCTATTGCTGGAGGCCTTCCCGCATTGCCTAAGGTTTATGCACAGATTGGGCTTCTGAATTTGGCCTCTGCCCTACAAGTGGGATGCTTGACCCCCATGGTCCTGTCTGCAGGGACTGCTGAGTGTGGAAGTGTGGATGTATGAGCTGTAGGAAGAAGCTGGGAAGGGCACAAATGCTAACATGGCACCCACTCCAGCTCCCAGAGAAGGGAGAATGCTGCAGGGTCTGCACTGCTTCTGCTGCTGTATGGAGCATTTAAGACACAAGAGCAGCAGGACAAGGAGTCATTATAGTCAGAGAAAAGGAGACCTTGATAATGCCCTTCCAAAGAAAGGATTAGTAGGATTTGGAGCTGATAGGACGAGGGAATGACGTGGGAACCAACTGCAGAATTAATTTTGGCTGTAGAGAAATGAATAGCAGCATCTTGTGAATGTCAGTCAGATATGTACTGATAAAAAGATCAGTGCAAAAACACCTAGTGTAATTATTCAGGCTGACAGAGTGCACTAGGATAGGACTAGAGGAAGCTGTAAACTTGGGAACACTGGTATGCCAGGCTCACCTTTTCTGTTCTTTTGATGCCACTTTTGCTCTTTGAAATAACCTCCTTCTGTCAGCGTAGCCACTGAAGTGGTTCTTGCTCCTGCAATAGCTAATTTCCCATGTGGAAAATCTTTTTCCACTCACCCAATAATTAAGTTGATTGGAGAGTTTAATTTCTCTCCAGTACTTTTCCTCTAAGCTTTTCAGAACTGCTCCTTTTAGGTCCATGAAAACTGCAGGTTCAACATTTGAAGAACAACTTTCATTTTATATACATCTATGTTATCAAAAAAGCCAGTATAGTAGAACTGAGATCCATCTCCTCAGTTTCATTGTTACATTCAGTTCCTTCTTCTTTCATTGGCATAACTGTGCTTGGTGCATTCACAGCATTTCCCCAGATCAACTCATGGTCGTCTGGTAATCTGTGTTTTTTTGCTTACAACTTCACATACCCATCTTATTGAAAAATTGACTCAAGTTATTTCTCCAATCATACTTTGTTTTGTTTCTGCTTTTGGTATTTGCTAACAATCTGCTAATTTTATTTTGGTTTTTTGTTTTTGTAGCAGTTATGAGGAGTGTTGGTGAGTTTTCTGTTTCTGAGAGTTCTATAGAGGGTTTCTGTTCTCTGGGTTGTTTTTTTTTCCTTTTGTTTGACAAAGATCTGGTGTGTTTTAAAGTGTGCAGGGCTTTTTAATGTCATGCATCATGGCATCCCTAATTGTGCTCTAAGTAATTGTAGCTGCTTTGTAGAACATGATGTGTGAATGAACTTAATTTCATCTGCAATGTTTGTTTGCAATGAACAGCTAGCTTCCTGGCTGCCTCTGATCATAAGAAGTTAAACTGAAAATCAGAACACAAGGATTTTATTTATTTTCCTTTGTTATTTCCAGTGAAAACTATCTGGAATGAGAAACTTTTCTGCCAGTGATGGAAGATAATTAAGATAATTTTATGCATTTCAAAACCTTGATAGTGACAGATTTGGCATGGTGTACATTTTTGTAATCCATGTCTTTATTTAAACATTTTCACATAACATTTTTTCTTATTTTGTGGTGTTCAGTGCTATCAAAAACAGACATTACTGAGTGGTTCAAAAATGCAGAAGTTCTGCTCTAAATTACTCTCATTACGGTTGAACCTCTAATTCACTGAGAATTTAAGTCTGTGTTACAGTTTGCTGGTATAATACAATGAGAGCTGTTCATTTGAAAAAGCCATTGCAGGTTGGAAAGTAAGTATATGTGAACTTTACACCATAATTTTTTTCCCCAATCATCCTAGCAAATGTTTATGATGAAAATGTAATAATTCTAAATCCAATCTCAATATGCTGCATGGCCTTTTCTGCCAACTATGTCTTTATGCATGTTAACCCACACTGTCGTGGAAAGAAATTGCTCAGAGGAATTGTCACTAAGATCACCAGTCACTAGAAAGCACAAATCAAGTACAGGGAAAGCCCTAAAAGCTGAGATTAATTTGCTGTATGGGATAGCAGTACTGGGGAGTGGTTGTTCTCTGCCCCTCAGGCGGGTGAGCAGAGCACAAACAAGGAAACTGTTCCAAGAATCACTGCTGAGTTACATCCTTTGATAACAAATCCCTCACCTTACTTTTATAATGGAGCTCAGGCAGACACTGGTATAAGGCTTCTCCCGTGCCTTAATATCCTTTAAGGGATAAGAATTGAAGTCGTGGCATGATTTTGAAGTGTGCCCACGCAACCCTCGTATCCTACCTCACAGATATGCTGCAGAAATACTGGTATAAGGCTTCTCCCGTGCCTTAATATCCTTTAAGGGATAAGAATTGAAGTTGTGGCATGATTTTGAAGTGTGCCCCACGCAACCCTCGTGTCCTACCTCACAGATATGCTGCAGAAAAGAGCAGCATTGCTCTAAGGGTAGCAGAGGAGTTCACACTCCTTGGAGGTCACAACTGTTCCTGAAAAGAAACTCCTCTCCATGTAACCTCTCAGTGTGGCTGTCTCCATTTAACAGTGCTGAGATGAGTGCAAACAGTAGGTTCTTCTGTGCTGTCACTACGCTGAAGCCATTCATGACTGAAAAAAATAAAATTAAGACAATACACAATAGGTGTCCTCTGATGCTTGATGCCATGTCGAGAATGGATATTGCACTTGGCACAGCTGGAGATGATGTAAGGGCCTGGTATTTGGGTACCTTTCCTACTGGGAAGGAAGAACCCAGCATTTTGCTTGACAAAGGGAGTAGTGGCCAGTTGGTTCCAAATGATTGACTAAGAGCACAACTTCAGTTTTGAGTAATTTTCTAAGTTAAAAGGCAGCTTTTGTGAATGACTCTTTCAGGTGGGATCAAATTACCCTTTGGAAATGCTATTCTTTCTCCAGCAGTTGTAGACCATCTGTCTTGGATTGGATGAGCAACTTCTCTAGACATCTAAACTTAAAAGGGCATAATCTGCTCTCTGTTGTCAAATAAGCAGTCTTAGTATAGCAGCATTATCCCCATATAAAGATATAGTTGTCCCTAGTTTAGTATATTGTGTGTAAGAGAAACTACCAAAGGACAGTATCCTTGGATTACCCTGAAGATGCATGTTGACTTTTTACATATCATAAAATTGCTTTTGCTGGTGTAACTTGATTCTAGTCTGCAGTAGGGAAAATTATATACTAGCAGAAGGACTTTTTTGTTAATACAACAGTGTTTGCATTATGGATCTGGGTGGCATTTCTGTGTTAGAAGGAACAGTTTTTCTTTTCATGATGTTAATAGATATGTGATAAAACATGTTTAAGCAAGGCCTCAGTGAAGTATCTGTGTTGCAAGGAGAGGGAGAATGGAGCAAGATGTCTCTGCAAAAAGTGGTTCTGTATTTGATGGCAAAATCTGTCACACACATTCTCTTCAGCAAAACTGTCCCTCTGGTGTACAAACTCAGCCCACAGCCCCTTGGTATTAGGGATTAGTAAATCTGCATCTGAATGCCTTTAGTAAAGGCAGAGAAGTCTCTAGGATCATGTTCCTGCTGTGCAATTGCCCACTGGACTTTCACTGTTGATCATTAGTTTAGGTACATTTTTGTTGTCTGCCATTAATTCCCCAGCATGCCACTGTAATGTGTGTACCTCTAGATCAATTTCCCCCCTAAAATCAATCTTTCTTTTTCAGCACTTCAACAGGCTCCCAGTCTATAATATACATCCCACAGGACATTGTTAGAGCAAAGGAAATTATTGCACAAATCAACACCCTGAAAACGCAAGTCAGTTACTATGCAGAAAGACTCTCAAGAGCTGCCAAGGACAGATCAGCTAATGGCCTTGAAAGAACACTTGCCATCCTAGCAGATAAGGTAGGAGAATAATTCATTTCCCTGCTGAAGCACAGTGTATTGTCTGTTCTTTCTGTACCTTTAGTAGGTTTTCTTGAAACGTCTGTTTTACCTTTTTCAGTAGTGTGTTGCAACATGCACAGACCTAAACAAAAATTACACCAGCCTTTAAAAGTTCCTGGTTTTATTTATGTTGTCTCCTACTTTTGATGCTCTTGCCTTCACCTCCTCTTGAAAGTGCAATGTCCTGGGATTCCCTCTATTCATTCATCACATTGCAGTAATGTGCATTCTTCAATTTCTTTTATATCCTTTTCTGCATAACCACCTGGGGTTTTTTAATGTTCTGAGTCATCTGTCAAACAGCAGAAACTGTGTGAAAGTTAATGAAACAATTCTGTATTTTTCCACTGGTGAAATAAGGAATAATGGTGACACAGCCTATGCTTGGATTATAGTGAACCAGTTATTCCTGATGTGTGCTAACAAAAAACAGACTGGACCCACAGCTGAACACAATCTTACAGGGAGAAAAAAACCAAATACAGTTTTACTGACCGCTTCTGAAGCAGAGGTGAAGCAGATCTGAAGTTTCTAAACAGTAGTAGTGGTCTATCAGCTTGCCATAAATTGTCCCAGTGGAAGGGATGCACATACAACTTTGTGTAATAGGACCTCACGTACATGTATTATTTATTATAATACTCATTCTAAATGAGTACAATGTATAACTGATCTGTGGGATTTTCTAGAACTGGATTTTGTGTATATATATATATAACATATTAATGTCTTGTTTGTTGTTTTTTTAGTAGACACACAGGCCACATAATTTTCATATTCATATGGCTTACAGAAATCCTTTAATGCAACATGGCTAAATAAGACAGGGGAAAATTGCATTGATTAGTGGGTTATACTTTCAGCCCTCCTCTTAAGTCTTGTTATAATTTTGGAAAGGATGATTGGGGTGAAACCTGATCCTTCTGGTGTGGCAACTGTTCAGTGGGGTACAAAAATCATTTAATACAGATTATAGTGAGTTGGAAGGGACTAATCAGGATCATCCTGGTCCTGCACTCCCAGACTCACACCCTGTGCCTGAGAGCATTTTCCAAACACTTCTTGAGCTCTGTCAGGCTTGGTGCTGTGACCACTTCCCTGGGGAGCCTGTTCCAGTGCTCAAACACTGCACATGTGTCTGCACATTGTTCTAAGCTTTCATCAAATGGAGAATGAAGTGCAAATAAAGATGAATTGCACATTTCTCAGTGAAATTTTCAACAATTACAAATCTAATGTAGTAGTACAGATTTTGGAAAACTATGTGATTTGGGATCCTATACTATTTTTTAATGTCATTCTGTAAAGGTATTCTAAAGGCACCTTCAAGCAATAGTTTCTTTTACAAAATATTGCTTCTTTTTTTTTTTTTTCTTTCTTGAAAAAAATCCAGTATAAATTGTTTATGGAATAATGAAAAGTTTTCAAAATGTGGGTTTATTGCTTTTTAGACCCGGCAACTTGTCACAGTTTGTGACTGCAAGCTGTTGGCAAATTCAATACATGGACTGAATGCTGCAAGGCCAGACTATATAGCTTCAAAAGCATCTCCAACCTCTGGAGAAGGGGAACAAGTGATGCTAAGGAATGATCAAGATACCCTTGTGGCCAGATGGACAGGGAGAAACAGCCGATCTTCTCTGCAGGTGGACTGGCATGAAGAGGAATGGGTAAGGTTGCACAGTGGAGTGATGAATCCTTTGTTCTTTTTAGTTTCTTTTTTTATAAGCTCTGTAGCTGCTCACCAGATATGCATAGGATGAGTATGTAGGAGATATTGGTCAGCTAGCAAAGATGTTGTCTCTATCCTGCAGGCAGTTACTTCTTGGGATGGGAATATAAGCAGTCTTTAATAAATATTTCTGGGTCTCCTAAACACTGGAAACTGTTAGAGGAAGTGCATAGCATTTTTAAGGTGAGGCACAAGGGAAAGTAAATAGCTTTAAAAGTAAAAAACTAACCACACTACAATAAGCTTTTGCACTTTCCCAAATAAAGTGTATTTTGTGGGTGCTAGCTATGCAATTTAGCCTTCCTCTTACAGAAATACTCCTGTAAACATTTAGAACTTGCAGTCAATCACTGTTTTGATTATGAACAGCATTTTAAAACTGTTTGCACAAAGTTTTAAAATTATTTTCCCTACCACTGCCAATCAAAATGACAGTTGGACTCTGTAAATTCTGTCATTGTGTTAAATAAACAGAAGTTAACTAAATCTCACAAATAGTCAAGATTAATTAAAGCAATTATTAATATTGGGAAATACCAACTTTTAAAAGAGATTGAATTCATTTTGGAAATGGATCCTTGCTAGTTGTAATTTTTTTGTTATTATTAACAGTCAAAGTCACAGTAATAATACAAATAAAGCTAATTCGGTATTTAGACATTACTACAATACAGTAATTTTATCTGTTGTTCACTGAGTTACAGAGAGAAAAGGATGTGTGATTGTATACAATTATTATGTCAAACATGAATTTCAAGAGTAAACAATAGTACCAGCTAGAAATTGGAATAATAGGGCAGGAAGAAGAACTTAAAATTGTTTGGCAAGCTTACACAGAAAATTAACTTAGCAATTTACTGCACAAGTCATGTCAGTAGATATTGTTGACATCCTGGTATATGTTATTTATGTACCCATAATTTGTGTATGCACACAGGCAGCCACAATAGCCCAGAGGAAAGTTTGCTAGAACCACAGGGGGAAATATATCGCCAAGGGATTTATTACCCCATGTCTCTTTTGGTTTTAAACAGAGAAAGAAATGTTTTCTTTTCAGGAGAAAGTTTGGTTGAATGTTGACAAAAGTCTGGAGTGTATCATCCAGCGAGTGGACAAACTTCTCCAGAAGGAGCGCCTGCAAAGTGACAGCTGTGAGGACGTTTTCCAGTGTGACGTCAGCAGTACCAGTAAGAAAGGTAATCGGGACAGTCGTGCCTACTGGATAAATCCAGAAGATTTAAATGAGACCTCATCATCCTCACCATCTTCATCATCCTCACCACCATCTTCATCCACACCATCCTGTGCATGCCATTCTCTCAAGACAAGTGCGTATGCCAGACACTGCTTCTCGCTGCTGCTCTCTTCCTGTGTGCTGGCATCATTCCTAAGCCTCCCCTTCAGCCCTGCATGTGCTTTTAGCTCAGTGGTGGTGGTAAGCAGTGATGTCAGGCAGAAAGAGATGTTACTGGGAGCTGCTAAGCCCATTACTTAGTTTGAAATCCTGGTCCCACTAAAATAATTTCCAAATCCATTGATGGCAGTGGCACTTGGTTTTCACTCTGTGTGTTTTAAGCTGGTGAAACAGTTGTATGGGTTATCACATGACAGACACCACCTCTGCTAGCTTTCCTGTTGGCTTCAGCTTCTTTTCAGCAATCAAAGCTTATTACAGGTAAATAAAACATGAGAGAAGTGCAGGCACTACTGAAAAACTGATAGTCCCAGCTGGACTGCTAAAGCATAGGAGAGGACCCCAAGCAGTCCCATTAGATTGAGCTCAATGTAGATGAACCTAACAGAGTTCAAAGCAAATTTTAACCCAAATTGTGGTGCTGAGGCACTCAGTTATTAGACTTCTTGTAGCTGGAATGTAGGAATTGGCAGTGCAAGTTCTTAAATCCATTCAAAATTTAAGCTCAAGTGGGTACTGTATTGAACCCAGCGTAAAGTTGTGAGCCTGTGAATGAAATAAATCCATATCAGTTTAGGCTGATAGTTTGGCAGTTGTGCATTACATTTCAGAATTATTTAATTTACTTAAGTACTTGACTTATTCTGACATTCTTTGCGTGTGGTCACTCTGATTTGGCCACTTAATAACGCAGGTGGGCAAAGTGAAGCTCTAAAAAGCCTGATCTGTGTTCTCATTTCCTGTGTCCTGTTCTGTCTTCTCGTTTGATGGCCCTTGTCCTTATGTGTGTCTGTGACTACATGTCCATCACATTTTTAGTGTTGCCATGGAAGGCAGTGCCTTAAGAAAAAAAAGGCAAAAAGGAAGTGAAAATAAATGTTAATATATTTTTTGTGTAGCTTTGCATGTTACCTTATAGTTTATTTAGTATTTTAGACAACCATGTTTTTCTAGATTAGACTGATATTTTTGTGTATTATTAAAAAATAGGAGAGTAGGTTTTTGTTTCAGTAATCTTTGACTAAATTCCTTCTACTGGTTTAATGCCTATAAATGTTTTTGTTTGCTAGCTAGTTTACATGGAGTTTTATATGTATTTACATGTAAGTTTAATCAGTAATCTTCAATGCACATTCACATAAATGATTAAAAGTTGTGGATTTTTAATATTAAAAATTCACAGGAAAAATCTGTGTTGAGTGTTGTCAGAAGCTTTTCCCAAGACAATTCGATGCTGAAAAGACCTTGGAATGATATTTTCCTATCATTTTCAGTGGTTCTTTTAAATCTACTCTGGATCATGGCACTTATGCCACATAAAAGTGGAATTGGTTGTGTGACCTTACCAAAGATGTTTTTAGTGCAAAGAATTTCTGTAACTTTTCCCTGCTGTCCCTCCAAAATAGGGGGAAAAAATTCCTTCTTTTTATCTGACAGAACCTGGGGCAGAATTAAAGGACAAGGAAGGTCCTTTCTCTAAATTCAGAATCACAACATTATTGGCTTTGTGTATTGAAAGATTTAAAGTTTTTGAGTAATTCTGAGTTTTGAATAAATGAGCAGAGAGCAGATAGAAATCATTTTGAAAGCAATGTAAAACCAAGCTAAGCAAGATAGTTCCAGAACTGGTAAGAGAGGGACAGTAAAATTTATTGAAGGATCTCTCTAGAAATGAATGTTTGTGAAAGAAAATACTGCCTGAAATAGTAGAAGGGAAACTTAAAAAAGATATTTTCAAATGTACTTAGGTTATTGGCTTAGATATTCATTACTAAAATCACATGGGGACATACAGTATGATGGATTTTAATTTACTGAGAGGTTTTTCTGATTATCTAGCTGAGATGATTGTCCTGATGCATACTATTGAATTCTATATTTTCTGTTGTTATGTTCAGATTTATAATTCATTGACTAGTGAATCTAGATATAAACAACAGAAGCTTAAATCCTGTTAGCTTAGTAAACTACTTTTCATTAATGCAGGACTTGCTATAACAGGGCTTATGTTATTTTTTTACTGTTAGAATTTACTGTTAGAATGTTTTCATCTGATACCTTGATCCTCCCACTGAAGTGAGTATGGAATACTCACAGACTTCTCTGGTGAGGTTTCAGCCCTTAATATACATTCTAATGTTTCTGTTAATTATCTCAGAAATTGTGTAATGGAATTTTGACTAAGATAGCAAAGAACAGGTTTCTTATTATTCTTACATTGTGGGTGCCTTAGTGTCGTTTTCTGTTAAATGCATTGAACTTACTGCTGGTCTTTTGCTCTTCTGTTTAGCAGCCTTACTGCCAGCTTAATCTATAATTGCAGTAAAGCAGTGGTTCTCAAATTGTGCCCTGTGGATCACTGCGGATTGACAGTGCACTGTAATCCACAGGGATCCTCTCAGCTGGCAGGTACTGCCTTTCCTCCAAATCCCCATCCAGGTGTTCTTCTGATCAGAACAATGGAGTGGAGGAGACAGTCCATGCCCTTGATGCCTGAGGGCAGCAGAGTATTCTGCTTAGCTCCTCTTCACTCAGTGAAAATGTTTGAGAACCCTGGCATTGAGCATTTGAGTTGCTTGTATTTAGAGTGTGTTGCTGCTCCTTAATCATGCATGTTGCCCCTCCATTTCTGTGCAGATTGCAGCCCTACTCCGGAAGAATCTGCTCCAGGTATGTGCATTCATGGCTTCTGCTTCTTCTGAGAACTGCAGGGATTTGTTCATACTTGACTGAACAAGTGCCTTGCTTTAAGATGGACCATTTTGAAATGGCAATGCTTTATAACACCACGTGAGTTATCTAAGCTGTTGAGAAGTTATTTCCTAAGAGTGCAGAGGGTATCTGGTCCTTTTGCTTGTACAGATATGGGAGAACGCTTGTTCAGGGCCTCTGATTTCTCCAGTTGTGTTTCAGCAAACTGATGTAGGTGACAATGGTTTGAGGCCTGTTCCAAACATCACTGAAGTCTGTGGGAGTCTAACATTTCAGACATGCCCTTTCACATGGGCTGTTGAGCTCGTCTTTCTGAATGAGAAGTCAAACAGAACATGGAGAAGTCAACAAGGCTGATGGAAAATCTCTGTCATGGGTGCACATCAATGCAGGACGACCCCCAGCCGGGGAACAATGTGCAATGACTCCAGTGGTTTCAGAAGGCTGAACAATTGCTTTATTAAGCTATGCTACATTATATTGCATACTGTACTATACTGTACTAAACTATACTATATTATACTCTACTCAAGAAAAACCCGTGACCCTTTCCAGACAGTCACACAGCTTTGACCTACCTGGTCAATCAATCCAAACACGCATCACCAGAGTCCAATTAACAAATCCCTCTTTGGTAAACAATCTCCATAACACATTCCACATGTGCCAAAGAACAGATGCAGTAAGTGAAAATAAGAATTGTTTTTCTTCTTCTCTGAGCTTTCTCACTACCTTTCCCAGGAAAAATCCTGGGGAAGTTGTGCCTACTGCTCTTTGTGAAGAGAGCTGTGGCTACAGGTGCACACCAAGGAATATTGGGGATTGTAAGTCTCATGTTTCAGGGTACAGAATTTTGGAGTCTCATCCCAGTCACTACCTTTCCCAGGAAAAATCCTGGGGAAGTTGTGGCTGCTGCTCTTGTGAAGAGAGCTGTGGCCACTGGTGCACACCAAGAAGTATTGGGGATTGTAAGTCTCATTTTCAGGATACAGAATTTTGGAGTCTCATCCCAATGTTAACCTTCTTTCTTCTGTCCTTGTCCCTCTATACTTAATGTGAAAAGACTAAAATATCTTTTCAAGATATTGGAGGACAGCTGTTTTAATAATATTTTTATTGCTCTGGAGAAGAGAGACCTTTAGGACGAAAAAAACAAGAACTTTTCCCACCTGATGTTACATCCTACAAGCTTTATGTATTTGGTTCTCTTAATAAGACATTAATTTTTCATTAAATAATCAGTAGTATATAGTCGGCAAAAGTTCACTGTGTGAACTCCTTGGCCTTCCCAACACCCCTACCTTGTTCTAACCTAATTTGAGACTAGGAGTGCATTTTGTTTTATTCCTGTTTACTGTTAATAACAACTGCCATTGACTAAAAAAAAATGAACACAGGTGACACTTCTGTGAAGTAAGTAGAAAAAATTATTTAGAACTTTGCAGCCTGACAAGGGTTTGTTTTTTGACGGCCAGAATTTTAAACAAGAGAATACACAGCACAGAGTATTTTTGCTCACTACCCTAGTTGAGTCCCTGCCTTCTATGTGAATGTCGGAAGAAAAATCCCATCTAATAATTGCGTTATCTTCACCAGTGTACTTTGTGATTACCAAAGATAAACATATCTTTTAAATGTAGTGCTGTCAGACACACTGACAATTTTAAATCTTTGCTGAGTTAGTAGCTATATACATGTATGTCCATACAGTCAGTGAGATGATGATGTGCTGGAAGATATTTTCAGTTCTTGCTATTCTCATTTGTTTATAGCAAAGCTCTTAAATGCAGTAAGAGACACAGTTTCATGTGTATTTTCCTTTCTAAGTGTTCACAAGGCCATGTTATGGCATCTAATTTTGAGATAAAATATTTAATAGCATTTAAAAGACAGGCTGTGATTCCTTGCCTGTTCTTTTGATGTTTTGTGCTTTATTTAAGGCAATGAAACAGAGTCAAACAACTTCCCCCATTGTGTAGTTTGTTAGGTTATGTATTTACCACTTAGAGCAAAAGCCAAAAGGATAGTTCTGTTAATCTTGCCAGATATGTTTCTGTTAGCAGACTTCCAGAGTTCCCCTCTTTGGCTGGTTATCAAAGGAACATTTATTATTACTGACTCTTAGTTCTGCTTCTGAGTCAAAATCCCAAACAATTTCCTTCTAGGGGCATGTCTCATTCATGCAGGTTCTGGTCTGTACGTTGCCTTATTCCTACAGCCAGCTGGGTTGGGAGTTGTGTGTGTGCTGTTTGTGAGCTCTGGTGCTTTTAAAAAATAAAACATACTGTCCTGCCCTTTAAAAAGAGAAGGACTTTGACAACTCAATTTCTCTTCTGTACTTCCTGTGCAGGACCTTGAACAGAATCCGCTGGGTCATATCTTGTGTATTTCAGTGGAAGAAAAGCTCCAAAGCTTCCAACAATCTGTATGATTCCCATCTAATTCACTATGTTTAATATTTCTTGTTATCTAACTTAAAGCCTTCAAAACTGCTCAGGAGACAGGAAACACTTATAAGAGTACCCACATTAATTTCTCACCTCACACTTTATTATTCTTAGCTGCAAATAGGAGATGAGCATCATCTTGCCTCACTGAGGTGCAATAAGGGTCAATAAAGTGGTGAGGCAATTGAATGATACACCTATGAGCCTGGAAATCCAAAAGGCAGGATGTTTGGAGGAATCTCATTGACAGAAATGGCTAAGCAGATGGTCCCTATTTCTGTAGTACAATGGACTCCTTACTGTCTGTCCATGTATGTGCAGTGAAAGGGTTTGTTTGAACATGAACATGCAGTTATATACACTTCTGTGTATAGTTGTTCATGTTTCTGTTATGATTTCCAAATCAGCTAGTGTACAGCCTGTTGCGTGGGCACAAATTCTGGTAACTTTTATGTGGTCTGGAAAGTCATAACAGACTAAAATTCTCCATATTTTCCTCATGCAATTACCACACTGTAAAGTTACTTAATTATTACAGAGCAAAGAATAACCATCCAGCCAAAATAAAATTATTTCTAAGTGTGAATGATCAACAACTTCATCTTGCAACAGGAAGTTATTTCTTATGGTGTGTTTGTTTCAAATAAAGTGCTTCCACTGCTGCTAATTTTTTTTTCCTTTCAATCAGGTGAATGGAGTGAAGCTCTTTATCCCTTGCTGACCACACTCACTGACTGCGTAGCCATGATGAGCGACAAGGCCAAGAAAGCCATGGTGTTTTTATTAATGCAGGACAGTGCCCCAACAATAGGGCTCTGCCTGAGCCTTCAGTATCGCAGGGATGTTGTCTTCTGCCAGACTGTAAGCAAGCACATGTGCATGGTTTGATTTCACTTCCACATTTGGTGGGGTTTCCATGAATATGAAAGATTACTCTTTCCAGAATTTTTCAGATCTCTTCCCAGGTTTGACCCTGATTGCCCCTCGCAAGCTGTGCTATCCTGTCCTTACTGGTTATGTGCATTTGACAGTTCATAAATTAGCTGTCTCCTTGGATATACAGTCATTCACTATTGAAAACAAAAATTATTCCAGAGCTACTAAAAATACTAGTATGTTAAAATATACTGCTGTATTCAGAAACAGCCTTTGCCTTCCAATACCACCAGGCCAAAGCAAAAGTTAGGTGTGAGAGAGAAGGGCAAAAAGGTCTGTGAGTAGCAGGTGTACTCCTTCATTTACCTTTTGTTGTTTTCTGCATTGAGAAACCCAGCAGGACATATGGTGCCTAAGGACAGAAGTTCAGCTACAGGAAGGGAAATTAGTTCTGGGTTTTTTTCCCAGAAGTTCTGTTTCTAGACCTGCTGGTATCTCTTGTGTCAGACACTGACTACCAAGTGTCTGCACTAAAAAAATTTCCACTGCCCACAGAAAAAAATTCTTCTGCCCACTACATTTCTGTATCTGCTTCCCTGTGAAATCACTATTTCAAGAAGTTTGTTTCTTGGACATCATTGGCAGGGCTTTTGTCCCTTAATGTAATATCAAAAATGTAAAGCAAGTGACAGGATGAGAGGAAATGTCCTCAAGTTGTGCCAGGGGATATTTAGAGTAGATATTAGGGAAAATTTCTTCATGGAAGAGTTTGTTAAGACCTGGAGTGGGCTGCTTAAGAAAGTGGTGGAGTCACCTTCCCTGAAATGCTAAAAAATGTGTGGATATGGCAGTTTAGGACATGGTTTAGTGATGGCCATCACCTGGGAAGTTCCTTTGTGGACAGCAAATTAAGACTAGTATTAATGTTAGATAATAGTACTGAGCTTAGTACTAGATCCTCAGGATCTTGTTCTGAATCTCTTGTAGCATCGGAGTTCAAGTCTGCATAATGCAAACAGATAGTGCATTTTTAAGCTTTCTCAAATGTAATTTTTGAAAAGCAGTAATTTATTCATTCTATCAAAATTCTTGGCCTGGAACTAGCTGTGTTGCTTTTCTGTCTAAAACTAAACCAATTCTCTAAGGAGCAACTTCTGTAATTCATAAGTTGTAGACCCTACCACAAGTCATCGTGTTCAGAAAACAAGAAGGTGTGAGATCTACAGCAGCCCCATTTTGAGACAGCTTGTGACATGAAGGCAGCGTGCCCTGAATCTGATTTTATGCATGCTTTGGGTTTTCATTGGTTCCTTGTCTTCAGCTGCAAGGAAAAAATGATGTTTAAAGGAACAGAGTATCTGCGTGACAGATTTTATTGCACCTCTTATACATGCTGTGATTTTTGTTTGGGGCTGAAGAACCTTTTTTATTTTGAATCATTTCATTCTTGTCTGTTTCCTCTCTCACAGCTGACAGCTCTCATTTGTGGTTTCATTATCAAGTTGAGGAACTGCCTGCATGATGATGGATTTCTAAGACAACTCTACACCATTGGCTTGCTGGCACAGTTTGAGAGCCTGCTGAGCACTTATGGTAAAGGCAAAGGGCCAGGGAGTGGGATTAGCTGTTGAGTCAGCAAATTCTGCATTAAATTGGCTACAACAGGATGTGAGTGTTTGGGACAATCTGCAGCTCAGCTACAAAATTATTTCAAAAACTAAAATGCAAAACTAGATTATAGCTGAAGTGCTTAATTATCTAACAACTCTGAATTTCTTCTCACTTACTTGAATTGCTTCCAAAAGATAAAGTGTGACATTCTATTCTTTTATAATATAATACAGTTTTTTAATATAATAATATAATATTTTATAATATAATAATATAATAAGGTCAAAGGTTTAAGAAAGACTAAAATGTATCACAGTGATCTTTAGGGGTTTTTTTTCAGAAAATAATTGGATGAAAGTTCTGATAAGCTGGGAGAAACTGTGCCCAAAATACACTTTTCGAATTTTCCTGAAACTTCTGTAGTCTTGCAGCACAATGTGTGACTGAAGAGTGAATATAAAAAGGGAAATTACTTCACTCAGTGAAACTCAGAAGTGTTTCACTCCTTTGTCTCAAAAGCTGTCTGAATACTCTTTAGGGAATGTTTTATTGGACAAATCCAGAATACCTTGTACAAAGGATATCATGGCTCTGACAATGCTGAGAAGTACTTATTAGCATCATCTAACTTGGAAAATCAGCATATAAAATACTTAAAGATGAGTAGTCTGGACTGTTCTAGATATCTGGTGTTTTCTAAACTGGCTGAACTCAAAAAATCAGCCATGACATTGTCTGTAGGTCAAGGGGGAGGCTGGGCCTGCAGCACCACTTCATCTGTGGAACTTCTGTATGGAGTGATTCCCTACTGCTGTCATCAAATTGACAAAAGGAAGTTGTGCATAACAATTAATTACAATTCACTTTTTCCTCTTGGATTTAGGTGAGGAGCTGGCAATGCTGGAGGACATGAGTTTGGGAATCATGGACTTAAGGAATGTAACCTTTAAAGTAACTCAGGCTACATCAAATACATCTACTGATATGCTGCCAGTCATCACTGGAAATCGGTAAAAAACAATAAATGTACTTTATTCTTGATGAGTGGGAACATGCCAAAATTTGGATTTTTCTACTCAAGTTGTAGAAGAACTGCAGTATTAATGAGCAGAGCAAAATCAGCCATTGTCAGGAGATTGGTAGATCTGATGTGAATGTCTGTGAGGACATAAATGCAACATTGCAGGTTGCTGCATGTTTGTTTTTGAACTAGGATAGATTTTCTGACTGGAAGCAAGTTGTGGCAGTTCCTCTGAGTCAGTTTTGACTGATGGTTGCTTTTTAATGGTTGTATTATGTTCTAGGTGTTATCCCTTTTTAGACAAATAACATATTCTTGGAATGTAGCTTTTTGATCCTTATGTCTAATAGCCATTTATTTCTTTTCAGTGATGGATTTAACGTGAGGATCCCTCTGCCAAGCGCCTTGTTTGATTTGTTGCCGCGTGAGATTCAAAGTGGAATGTTACTGAGGGTTCAGCCTGTTCTTTTCAACGTGGGAATCAATGAGCAGCAAACCCTAGCAGAGAAGTAGGTGTTCAGTCAGGCAAGCTCAGCCTTGCTGGCAGCTCAGCAATGGAGCTACGTTGATGTGGAATTGCACTCTTGCATAACTGACAGCGATTCACTTTCTCTGAGAGCACTGTTCTAAATGAATCTGCCAAATGCCAAACAAAAATAAGTCCTTCTTTGTGTGCCACGTAGCTGTGAAGCTCCTTACCTCATGGGTTTGAGACTAGTGCAGGTTTATGTGGTTCAGATGTGAATTTACAATGGGAGATCTGTCAAGGGCTATTTAGCACACAGGTGCTCCTTGTGACTTAAGACCTGTGTGAATGACAGATCACTGGAGGCTGAGATCATTCTGGGTATTGCTGTGTATTTGCTGTCTTGGTTTTGCATTCTCCCTGAGACTCCCTCTCCTGGTCACTGTCAAAATTCAGGATAATGGGCAAAGTGCACCTGTGTTTTAACATACCCTTGCAGTATTTATGTAATGTAACACTGCTGTTGTAAAACTGAAAAATATAATTATGTAATTGTATTTGGTAGGGAAACTGCTCAGTTCTGGAAGAGCCAGCAGATTCCCTCTGTTATGGTCACATCCTGTGAAGAGTACATTGGCAGAACACTGCTCCAACAGAGCACTCGAGTGAAGCCAGGCACATGCATGTTGTGACAGCAGCCTTGGTACCAGGCTGGAGTGTGCACTGTGGTGGTGGACAATGAGAAAAAGTCTAACAAAATCATTCTAGCAATTACTGTTGTCCTCTGTTGCCTACAAAGGAAGCCCAAGATGACTGGCACAGTTACAGATGTCAGCTCTCTGTGTGTACATCTGTGTATGTGGATATATTTAGATAAAATGCATTGGGGCATTGTTGACAATATTTATTACATTCATGGTTTATTAATCCTAGATCCATATTTTTCATTTACATACCTGAAGTCAACATTCTCAGTCCTGTCTACTGATGTTATGGTTGTTATTAGTTTATGAACTCAACTAGTAACTCCATTATTAAAAGTTTAAATTTAGGTAAAACAATTTGCCAGGTAGGAATTTAATATTGAAAGATAGACATGAAAGCCAAAGACTTTTAAATACTATTTTCTACAAGATTTTTTTATACCTTCCTTCCCTTTTCCCTCTCATACTCTGGTATTTTCTTTCTCTGTAATGAACCATTACAGCAGCTCTCTGTTACACTTCACCTGGCATTTGAATGGTTAGGGAAATCCTGGGATGAATCTTTAAACTGGTTTTTTGGTAGACATATTGCCAAGTGCAGTTGTTTCAAAGAAAAAGAGGAACATTTTACCTTGGGCTTAATTGTTCCTTTTTTCTGCTTTTAAAGGTTTGGAGACACCTCACTGCAAGAAGTAATTAACATGGAAAGCTTAGTGAGGTTGAATTCATATTTTGAGCAGTTCAAGGAAGTTTTGCCTGATGATTGTAAGTATTTTGTAATTAATGAGAAATTTGCTTGAACAGCACAATTCAGGCTGATTTTTAAATTTTTTTGCTTTATGTTGGTTTTTTAAATGTCAGTGGTACACCAGCTTTAGTAACCTGCAAGGAATGATACAACTCTGTTTTAATACTTGAGTGCTAAAGTAGAGTGGATTCAAGGAGTTTAAAGGTCAGACTGATTAACTTTCCTTTTTAAAGTTACTTTTACATCTCTTTCTAAATGGCACTATGTACTGTGTAATTATCCATTTAGGCAGTGAGATTGTTGTAAGGTAAAGGTGTAAAACTGACAGGTTCTAGCAGCAGCACTTTTTATGTGCAGTTTTTGGTGATGCTCTCTGCACTTATAAAACCTGCACAGAGAGCAACTGCCAGTTTTTAGGAACTCAGTCACTTCCCTCTGTTTTTCCTCTGGCACTTCCCTGTAGTTGTTGCATCTTCAGCCAACAACAGAGAACCTGAAGAGTGACAAAAGCTACATGCTTAATTTTTACTGGATTTTTTACTTGCTTGTTACTGCTTGGGATTTTTTTGAGAAGGCAGCGGCATAAGTGTTATATACAAAAATGGTGAAAATTCATCAATTCATTATTATTGCAATCGAACATCTTCTAAGGTTATTTCATGTGTCCTACAGTTACAATTTCATTCCAGAAATACAAATGCAACAGCAGGCAATAAGATAGTAAGAATTTTGTCTGTTAAAGTGTGTTATTGTGAGTTCGGTTACCCTGAATTTTTTTTGATACAGCTAAGAGCACAACCAGCTTCCCTCCATCCAGGCATTCAAAATGCTGCATAATAAATTCTCTGGAATGTTAGCTGCAAAGTTTAATTCTTTATTGTATAGTAGTCTAGCATCGGATTTTCTTGTATGATTCAAAAATTAACCAGTTTTAAATGAATTTTGTTCATATCTCCATCTAGTCTTTTATAATTATAATTTCCATTCAGTTCCTTCTTCTTCTTTTTATTTTGCTTACCTTTTTTTTTTATTTCAGTCTCATCCCTCTTCCCCAAACCTCTTATGTTTGATCCAATCATCTTTTAGCTTTTGCCTTTTTTGCCTCCTGAAGGTTGTGATAATTTAGGATATACAAAATGAAGTGTACTTTTCTGTGAACCCTTACCAAGGGAGGAATAGCATTTTACATTTAACTGCAAACCAAGTGATTATGCCTAGTTATGTAGTCTGCAGTAGGTAGAGGCAAAAGGAAAAACAAACAGATCATTCTAGGGGACAAAGGTCCCAGTGAACTATCTGCTGGCAGATTGCAGGAAATGTTCCCTTCAAGAGTGGTACACAAGAAAAGTTGATTCCTTAACCACTGTCCACATCCCTGTGTTATTAATTCTAAACTCTGCAGAGTTTAGAGTTTTCTAAGAAATTAGTATTAGCTTCACTAGCTCCTTGTTCTGTTAGCTCTCCTTGTCTTTAGAAAGAGGAGATGCCCTGTGCCAGCTTTTTGTTTACAGGTATTGCTTTCTTTCTAGGTGTAGAGTTCAAGCAGCCAAGGACAGGCACAGTATTGTTAATTATAGAATAGAAATGTAGAATTGTTTAGGTTGGAAAAGGTCTTTAAGATCATCAAGTCCAACTGTTCCCCCAGCACTGCTAAGTCCACCCCTAAACCGTCTCCCCAAGTGCCACATCTCCACATTTTTTAAATACCTCCAAAGATGCTGACTTAACCACTTCTCTGAGCAGCTGTTCCAGTGCTTGACAACCCTTTCAGTGAAGAAATTTTCCCCAACATCCAATCTAAATCTGCCCTGGTGACGCTTGAGGCCATTTTCTCTTGTCCTGTTGCTGGTTGCCTGGGAGAAGAGCTCTCCTGACTTTCAGGTGGTTGTAGAGAGCAGTAAGGTCCCCCTGAGCCTCCTTTCCTCCAGGCTAAACAGCCCCAGCTCCTTCACCTGCTTCCCATAAGACTTGTGCTCCACACCCTTCACCAGCTTTGTTGCCCTTCTCTGGACACCATTGAGGTTTCAGCACTTCCATGTCCTTTTTACAGTGAGGGGCCCAGAACTGAGCACAGGAGTTGAGGTGAGGCCTCACCAGTGCTGAGCACAGGGGACAATCCCTGCCCTGCTCCTGCTGGCCACTATTGCTGATCCAGGCCAGGATGCCATTGGCCTTCTGACCACCTGGGCACTGCTGGCTCATGTTCAGCTGCTGTGGACCAGCACCCCAGGTCCTTTTCTACCAGAAGCTTCCCAGCCACTCTGCCCCCAGTCTGTAGTACTGCCTGGGGTTGTTGTGACCCAGGGACAGGACCTGACATTTGGTTGTGCTGAACCCTACAAAAGTGGCCTTGGCTTATTGATCCAGCCTGTCCAGATCCCTCTGCAGAGCTTTCCTGCCCTCCAGTAGATCAGAACTGCTGCCCAGCTTGGTGCCATCTGCCTCTGAGTGAGGGCGCACTTGATCCCCTCCTCCTGATCACTGATAAGGATTTTAAACAGGACTGGCTGCAGAACTGGGCCCTGGGGACCACACTGGTGACCAGCCACCAGCTGGATGTAGCACCATCCACCAGCACCCCGTGGGCCTGGCCATCCAGCTGGGTTGTCTTACCCAGTGAACACTTGTGGGATTCACATTCTCTGAACCTGAGAAAAGCAGAGAAAAGAATGATCAAAACAATTTTTACCTCATTTGCTGCTCCTGTGTTGTGCTAAATTAGAATGCAATATGGAGACTGTTTACCCAAGAGTGATGTGTTTTGTCTCCTTGGCCTATTAGGGCCAAGCAAATGTCCAGACTGTCGGTCAGCAGAGAGTCACAAGATCCTGTTCAAGGGAGTGCTTGTGCAGTCTCGGTTTAGATGTAGTGTAATACAGTATAGAATTATATAGTATAATAAAGTAATTAATTAGCCTTCTCATATCAATGGAGTCCTCCTCATCATTCTTCCCTGCCAGGGGGGATTGTCTGCTTTTTCAATAAACAGTATGTCCCACCAAGCCACGAGCAGTTAGTCCAGGAGAATGCTGTGGGAAGCAGTGATAAAGCTTTGCCAAGGTCCAGGTAAACAATGTCCACAGCCTTCCCCCATCTGCTCGGTGGGTTACCTTCCTGTAGGAAGAAATCAGGTTAGTCCAACATAGCATTTGCTGTGAGAAGTAGGCCTGAAATAAAGCCTCATGTGTCACTCAGGTAGGATTATTTTTGTTACAGTCATCTCTTACAGTGCATACCTCAGTGTATTTATTCAGTCACAATTTTAGTTGGTGTTCTCTGTGGTTATTCCTTAAAAAAAAACAAACAACAAAAAACAAAAAAGAGAACTTGTTGAATACTTGTAATTGATTGCCTGGATTATTTTGCTACATACGTAAGAGATGGTGTGCAACAGTTTGAACACAGAAGATGAGTACTGAAAGGTACTCTGAAAATTTTCAACTACTTTATTTCCACTTAGTGAAATATTAACAAACATATCACGACAATGTGGTGTCCTGTGGATGTTTCTTGTAACTGAAAGCTGACCAGCTTGCAAATTTAAAATCAAAAATGTGAGCAGAATATAAAATATCTTCAGAGTCTCTCTGAAGACATGCATGTTTTCCTGTCACATCTGTGACAAACCGAAAGACCAAAAGACTATACCAATCTTGCTCCCTTTCTTCATTCTCTTATTATACTGCTATTAGATTCTGAGTCCCTGAATTTTTAAGTAACTGGAATTTATATTTCCAGTTGAGTTTAATTAAGCATGAATTTGTTTTGTTGATGGTACTAAGTAAATCAGAACTTGAATAGTTGTTCTAGTTTCAAGAAAACACAAATGTGTTTGCAACAGGCATATAGAAACACTTTGTAAATGATCTGTTGAGTACAGATGAATAAGTGGAGTTGGTTTTGTTTTCTTTATAGGTCTACCTCGATCTCGTAGTCAGACGTGCCTGCCTGAACTGTTAAGATTTCTGGGACAAAATGTTCATGCAAGGAAAAACAAGAATGTAGATATCCTTTGGCAAGCTGCTGAGGTATTTGTTCATCTAACCATCTCTGCATAGTTCAGCTGATTTTCTGTATTCATATGTATTTGCCCCTTTTTTATTACTGGTATATTTGAATTTCTTCATTTGCTTGCATGTAGCTTGCAAATGCTGCCAGGGTAGACCTCCTCTAGAATGAGACATGGGGAAATAGAATGTATTTTCCATATCAGATTTTCCCCTCAACTCATACAATGAAGTTCTGCTCCCTCAAACGTGCCAAACTTTGACATCGAAGCCCTAGACAACATTTGTGTCTCTGAGGGGAAGTGCAGGTGTTGTCTCTGACAGGAAGTTTTGCCTGTAGAAGGAGTCATGGATTGTCTGTCCCATTTCTAGATATGCCGCAGACTTAACGGTGTTCGGTTTACGAGCTGTAAGAGTGCCAAGGACAGGACTGCCATGTCCATCACCCTGGAGCAGTGTTTGATCCTCCAGCATGAACATGGAATGGCTCCACAGGTCTTCACTCAGGCTCTGGAGTGTATGAGGAGGTAAGAGTTTGACCACATTACTTATTCCTAAATAAGGAACCATGCAAACTGCAGAGGAGTGGTGGTCTCTGTTTCCATCAAAAGAAAAAAAAGTAAGCTAAAGTCAGGAAACTGTAAAGCTGACTGCTAGAATTCATCCCTCCCATGCATGTGAGTTGCATATGCTGAAGCTGGTTCTTACCAGGTTTATAACAGATGGGCTTGAGTTTTCAATAGAAAATTAGGAGTTTTCAGACAAGCATGTAAAAATATGTTTTCCCTTAATGCTGAGCTTAAGAACAGGAAACTGCTTCTTTGAAAGTTGTTCAATGGTGACTTTACCTGAACTGTCATAGCACTAGGTTTCTTAGTTCTAGATCAGGGAGATTACTCAGGGATGACCTATTTTTTATTCTTTGAAACACAGACACCTGCAGTTTGCACTGGTTTGCCAGTGTATTCTTTAGCAGTGAAACACTGCTCACTGGGTGAAATGTCAGTATGAGTGTTTCACACTATATAGCAACCAAATTTCATCACAACGTGTCAGTGTGCTGTTGTCATATCAAAATAATGATGTTCTGTATTCTGAAGCAGCAGAGATGTTTGCAGAACTAAATACTGTACTTTAAAAAAAATCTGTTTATTGTTGTTCAATGCCTTGTTTCAAGCACTGCTGGAAAACTCCGTAAGTCACATACCAAAAGAAAGGATAAGAAATCTAGCTTTAGTCTTTATCAATGTAGTTCAACAATGCTGTTCAGTCCTGTTTCTCAACATTCACTCTTATCAAATGTACTGTACTGTGTGTCTTTTCACCAAATTCTCTAGAGTGTTCAATTCTCTTATCCTTTCTGTATGTTTTTGCTGTTTGACCCTTTCTTACTCTTCAGTTACCTAGAAGAAAAATGTCTCATATAATAATACTTGCAGCCTCTTACATTAGTAATTTGGAGATTTATACCTACATCTAATTGGGTGGCACTGGACTGTTTTATTTTCAGGTTTTTGCTGCACTTTTTGCTACATTGTCACAGACTTAGTACAGTACATGAAAAGTGCACTCAGAAACTACTTAAATCTTGATATTAGAAACAATACTTGAAACAGCTATGTGAGAGAGAATTTACTAACTTGAAATGGACTAAGTGGTTTTCAAACATCTTTATTTAAATTGCACCACTTGTTGACGTAGACATCTGAAACTGTTATACAGTTTCACAGTTGTGTATTTAATAAAAATGAAACCAACTAGGAAAAATACTAGGAATCTTGTTACTTTCTTCAAGTTCTTTACTGGGTCACTGGGGTTTTTTTAATGCAATCACGGGCACAATAGAGAGAGAGAGGTTAATAACAACATTGTTTTTGTCCTTCAGTTATTTAATATAACACAGGATCAGATAAAATACTGACTCAAGAAAAATACTGCTTTGTGTTGGTGTACACAGGGATATTGAAAGAGGGCCAATTTAATCAAAATCTTTGGCTTGAGTGTTCTACCAACATCAGGGACTTCCTCTGACAGGTGAAGGACATGACTTTTTCTCCTGTTAAATCTTTGACTAAGAGAGATTGTGCAGGACAAATACTAACTAGTCCAGAAGGAAAACCAAGATTACACCATTCTTCAAGCCCATCACTCTTCCTCACATCTTATTGCTCTTTGGGATAGGTGGTTGTGTTTTTAAAATTATTTGTCAATTCCACTCAGGAACAATGGCACAGAATTAATAAAGCTTAATGAGAGAGACAGGATTATGGAACCTATAGGAGTCCAACTCCACCAAATCCCATTCCAGCATGGACAATTTGACCTGACCTAGACTACAGATACAGGATAAGAAAGGGTAGCAAATTGTACCCAAATTGCTTCCAGGGCATTCAGAAAACTTGGGTTTTGTTCTTTTAACTTAACTTGTTCTTTTGTTCTTTTTAACTTAACTTTTATTTAAGTGTACTGGAAAAGGAAGGTTTGGTTCATTCTTAAAGACTTTAGAAGTTTCTGAGGCATTTGGAAGGACAAGGAAGAAGTACTAGACTCAAAGTATTTAATCTCTTCTCTGCTGACAACTTTCCAAAGAAGAAAAGCGTCCTTGCTTATACCGTTCTTGAAAAAATTAAGAAAGCATCATCTTCTTCCATGTGATGTTGTTGGTCTTCAGAGGTGTTAGTTCCCACTTACTTGTCCTCAGGGACTTCTCTTCTTTCCTAGTCTTGTGACAATTATGTATCTGTGATATTATGTTCATTGAGCAGGGACATCAGGGAGGGAGCATTGAATGTTCTTCTAGATTCTTGTAGAAATACACAGATACAAGTTTTTGGCTTTCACCTTAGAAACAAATGCCCTATTACAATAAACTCCTTTTCTGTAAATAAGTTACAGCCTTTCCAGTCCTAAATTAGACACACAGTAACTCCCAGCTCACAAATAGTACAATCATGATGATATGTCTGGAAGTCCAAGCTAAGAGGACATGGCTACCTGACCAGTAAAGGCAGAACAAGAGTCAAAGTCCAGCTGGCTCAGGTAGCCTCTTCTATCTGCAGCCCGTGCTCCCCTCTAGATCTCCCCTCCCTCTTCCTACCAGGTTTCTGTCTTGTCTGAAATGCCAGTGGAGCAGTTTGTGGGAATATGCTCTAAGGCAGTTTCAGTCAAGATCATCCTGGATAGCAAAATATTTTACATGTTTCAGGTAACCCAGCTCATTTTCATTAAATGAAATTAATTAGGAAGGTGCAACACAAGCAATTTAGCCAACAGAGAAGGGCCATCTCTGATAGGGGCTCTTGAAAAGCAGCTGAAAATGAGGTGAGGAAAATCACCATGGTGCTGACTAAAATGATTACATAATAAAGTCCTAGGAGTCATGTTTGGGTATGACCACTCATGCAGGTATGATAAAAAGCTTGGTTGGATTTCTTTACTGATTGACCTGCTAAAAGAATAAAATCATATTGAGTTGAGCTAGACCACTTGGCAGATGCCCACCCAGCCACTCACTACCTTCCCCCAACAGGACAGGAGGAAAAAATATGTGAAAAAGCTCATGAGTTGAGATAAAGACAGGGAGATCCCTTGCCAGTTACTGGTGCAGAACTGGCAAAACACAGATTTTTTTTATTGCTAATGGATTGGAGATGTTAAGAAATAAAGATGAAAATTAAAAACCTTTGCCCTCTACCTCCCTTTTTATCCCAGGCCAAAGTATTTCACTGCTTCTTTCTCAGCTCCTCTACCTCCTCCCCATGCTGAGCAATGCACAGTGGATGTGGAACAGGGATTTGCAGTCAGTCCATAACAGGTCTCCTCTGCTCCTTTCTCCTTGCACTCCTCCTCCACTCCAATGTGGGTCCTTCGCATATGGGCTGCAGTCCTTCAGGATGAACCTGCTCCTGCATGGGCTCTCCATGATCTCCAGTTTCCTTCAGTAAATATTCATCTGCTGCTCTGTGGGTCCTCCATGGGCTGCAGTGTGGATAGATCCTCTCCATGACTGCAGGGGAAGCTGCTTCAGCTCTTTCTCCTCTCCTTCCCTGACTTTGGTGCTCAGAGGGCTCTGTCTCAGATCTTTTCCCGTCACTGTTCACTGCCATGCAGTGCTTTGCCTTTTCTCACACACACCTTCCCCAAGGCACCAGCTTGGCTGAGGGCTCAGCTGTGCCTGCAGTGCTTCACTGAAGCTGGCTGGAACCAGCAGTGTCCAGCATGGGGCAGCCCTGGCCTCTCCTCACAGACAGAATTCCCACGTGCAAGCTAAATTAGAAGGGAAATTGTGCAGAAGGGAAATCTCCTAACCCTCGTCCTCTCCTAGAGCTAGTCTGCTGATGAATGTTTTGATTTAAGACCCTGTACAATTTGGAATATTTGATATTTCCAAAAGGTGACTTTTCACCCTTTGGAGGAAGCATCTACATGGGCCAACAGTGACAAGGAAAGCACTTTCCAGCTCTTGCCTCCATTCCCACCATATGTGTCTGTGTATATGCCTTCATGTAGAATTGAGTAGCAATTATACTAATTTTTAATGGTGGAGATGTGGCATGTGGTGTCCATAATGCCAACTTAACATTTTAGCCTTCCTTCTTTACCTCTCCCATTGTTCTACATTTTATCTATGTTCTAAACCACTTTTCTTCCTTCAGGCCATTTCACTGAGCCTTTATCTACCACTTTCCAGTACACACTTAAGTTTTCACTGGCTGATTCTCCTGATCTCACACACACACTCCCCACTGCTACAAAGGAATTGGGATTTATAGGCATCACAGATTCAATCTGCCCTTCTCCACTGTAGGTACCAGGAGTGAAAACATGTCTTAATCACCAACTTGGATCAAATCCAGATCAGAAATACAGTTGGTTTACGTCCTTGCCCCCCTAATTCCATTTGACTTGATGTGTCACCACCATCTGAATGCTCTTTTTCACCACCTCCAGGGTGTGTCTGATTTCTTGCAGGACATTGTCTGATGCTTACATAACCCTGCTACTCAACCATCGAGGTTATGGATGGTTTGTTATGGATGGAGCAAGTGCACAAGCTCGAACAACATCAGGCTTACAGATTGCATTTAGAATCACAGAATCATAGAATTGTTTGAGTTGAAAGAGACCTTGAAGATGATCTAGTTCCAACAGCTCTGCCATGGACAGGGACACATTCAATTAGACCAGGTTGCTCAAATCTCCATCCAGCTTGGCCTTGAACTCTCCCAGGGATAAGCATTCCTGGCTGCCTCACCACCCTCAGAGTAAAGAATTTTTTCCTTATATCTAGTCTAAACCTGTTCTCTTTCCCTTTGAGCCTATTCCCCCTTGTCCTGTCACTACATGCTCTTGTAAATAGTCTCTCTCTCCCTCTCTCCCTTCTAGTACTGGAAGGCTGCAATACAGTCACCCCTAAGTCATCTCTTTTCCAGGCTGAACACCCAGTTCTCTCAGCCTTTCCTTGTAGGAGAGGTGCTCCATCCCTCTGTTGATCTTGGTCATTTAGTTGTTGCTTTGTGAACTAAAAACAGAGTTGGAGTGCTCAGGGTATAAGAGTGAACCGAAATTAAAGACCACACTGCAAAGCCTACCAGGCTACCAGGGGAGCTGTTCTTCACTGTAGCCTTTGGTGCTCAGTGTAAGGAATGGGTGCACAATGAGATGGGCAGCATGTCTTCAGAAATAAGCCTATTCATACACCCTTGAATTCATGTCCAAGCAGAAAAATAGGTGGGTGTTTTGGGTTTTTTTTAATTAATGTGTTGGACAGGTAGTTAAGAGGTTAAATTAAATCACTGCAGCCCACATGGCAAGATGTTTGAAAGGGTCAAATACTACAATGGTTATTCATGTTCAGCTTGCTTTTCAGAGCTCCACTTCTTTGCAGCATGCCAAAGCATGGCAGAGCAGCATGGGGTATTATTGCTTGGTAATCTGAAAGAATGAACATGGAAAACCATTAATGTTCAACCTACATGTGTTTATTTTCACTAGACTACAGTACTTCTTTCTTATTTTTCTCTTTTATTCTCTTTCCCTCTCCTTATTTTTATAATTGTACTGATACATATTTTTGAGATGTTTTTCCACTCTTTCTTTACTTCATCTTCTGGTTCTGTTGTGCGTTCTTCCATGTTTTTTCATTTTCTTGACCACCTTGTGTTGCCATCTCTTTTTATCCATCCATTTGCATGTCTGTCTTCTGTTCTGTTTTATTTTCCCTCTTCCCAAACTTCTTCCTTTTCACAGCATTGGAACACGGGAGATAGTCACCCAGAAGAACTTGAGTGGCTTGGTGCCCATCCGAGATTTCAGACTAGATCCCAGCCTCCTCTACTCTATTCCTTTACTAGCTCTCAGCCCCAATTTACTGATTGTGTGGCTGTTTCTGAGCATAGCATACCTGGTGGCCAGATTACGTTGCAAGTGAAGATAGAGTTCAAAAACAAACAAAAAAAATAAGAAAAAAGAAAAAAAGAAAAACAACAAAAACCACAAAAACAAAAAAGTGCTTGAATGTGTATTGCCACTTGGTACCTGCTGGACAAAGGAATGTGTCATAGCATTGTCTGCCAAGAATTATTATTATGCCTTACAATTTTACGTTTCTATTGTACTAAACTGTAAATATACATCAAATTATTTTAACAAAAAGAATTGTATTGAAACTTTAAATTATTGTTCTGCTTTCAGTGCTTGTAACACAGTCTGACATTGGCCTGTTACCTCTTTACTTTAGCCGGCCTGAAGATCTCTTACCAAATACAGTTTTGTGTTACTTGTTTCATGTATTCCAGAGAAAGGAACTCTGTCTGAAAAGAATTTGTATCTTTTTGTATATTTAAGGTGTATGCTAATATTGCCTTTCATTTTTACGAGGTATGAAGAGAAAAATAAAAACATGGGTGGGGTTTATAAGAAATTATAAGAAATTTATTTAAAGAAGTAACAAATTTATACTTTTATTTCAAAGCATAATATCCAAATTACATTATTGATCAGTTTGTAGAACCATAGCCTTGTTCCTTTCTCATGGTTAAATATATTCTAATAGACTAGAAAACACTCATAAAACAACTTACAGTGTGCTGCATGCAGAATTATTTCATTCTATTTGTAGATCTGCATTTTGCAATGTATTAAAGACATGAGGAAAATGAATCTTGTGGTTAGGAAGGGGATGTGACTGGCATTAGCCTGCTAATGATCCATTATCTATTTTAGGTGCTCTGTTATAGAACTTACTGTGAAATAGGGTCATCCTAGAAGTTAAAGATAATGGTCTTTAATTTTCAGGCAAGAAGAGGGAGGTATCAGTTAACTCCTTTAGTAGGTGGGTTTCAGGTTTTCCACTGGGCTTTATTTTAATTACATTAGACTAAATATTACTGTTACTTCCATTTTTAAGCGTTGCACAGCTTTAATAAATTATGATGCTGATAGTGACTTAGTGATAAGCGAGCGATGGTAAGTTAACATTTATTTAAGTGGTGAGACTAAAGTGGCTTCCTAATTTAGTGATGCAGAGTAATTGCAGATGAAATTTGATCATCATTTATATATAACATCAAACTAGGGGAGGCCTATTTAAACTGAAAGATTTTGTTGATGCTGTGGTCTGGCAGAGCTTGTCAATAGCAATAGCTGATAAAAAAACTAACCTCATTTAATGTAGTTTGATAAATTCATAAAGGGTTTTACTTCGCTTGGTGCCTGAGATGACATTGGGCTTCTGAGGAGAACTAGTACTGTGATTTGTATTTTCTACTATTAACTTGCTCAAAACATATAGATAGCTTTAGCTTTTATTATAAATTTTAATGGAATTGAGAGCTGCTGAGAGAAATATGCTGAAATAAAAAAAAATTTAAAAAGAACAGTTAGAATAAAAATCAGAATTAAATCCTAAATTTGGATTTAATTATTCTAACTAAAAAAAAATTGTGTGGTTATATTTGTGTCTTCATGAAATCAGACTGTACAGTACACTATCTCTTAATATTTTTCCTCACTGTTCTTCCAATTTTGTTTTTAAAAGAAAAAACACAAAAAACACCACAAAGACATGTATGTTTATCTGTATCTATAAAGCACGTATCATATTGCTTTTAGTTGCAATGAGTTTCAGTACGTTGGTACATCCTCACTGCAGTTGAGGTTTATCATGGTGTGGTGGTTTGGGACACCTCCCTGTGTTTGCTGATACCTGATGCTGCTGTGTCTCCATAGAAATCATCTGTTCCTTATGGCTAGCACTGCTTTGTGAGCTGGGGGTGCCCCACTCTACCTTTTTACAAGGTGAGCAGTTGTCACGTTGGTCAGTGGCCTTGATCTTGTGGGGATTGTCCTGGGTTCAGTCTGACCAGATGTGAAAGTAACTTTAGAATCACAGAATATCCTGAGCTGGAAGGGTCAAGGATCAGTTCCTGGCTTGGCACAGGACAGCCACAGGCTGTGCCTGAGAGTGCTGCCCAAACACTTCTGCAGGTTGGGGCCATGAACACCTCCCTGGGCAGCCTGTTGCAGTGTCCAGCCACTCTCTGCTGGCAGCCACACTGACTGAGCTCCCCGAGATTGTTAATCTGTTTGAAGTATGAAGGTGCTGCTCATGATTACACTAGGGTTGCAGTAAGACCACCTTAAAACTGTTTGGAATGAGACCCCAGGCTTCCTGGAAAAAACGTAGGTTTTTTCTTCTTAATTTCAGTGCAGACAAATTTGGTGGGTTTTTTTTTTCCTTTTGGGGCCTGGTCTGTGCTTTTGTTAAGGCAATCAGATTTAAGATGCAGTAGTGCATCCTACTTATGTGCTTCCAAGAGAAGGAAGATGGCATGTGAAATGAGGGAAATAAATCCTTGTCACCCTATCTGTGCCATGAGGGACACATGCAATAACCAGATGCAGTGAAATGTGATATGAAGAGAATGATTCACTTTGCAGTTAAAATGCTCACCTAGCATCACATATTTGCTAGTTAAACTTACTGCTTTTATTAGTACTCTGAAGTATGATTTGTGCAAACTTTTTATGTATCTATTTGGCTGCAAGAACCGTTTGGGGGAGTTTTGTGAAATACAAACCAGTGCCAGAAAAACAGTGTCATCACAGATGATCCATTCTATAAAAGGCAAGCACAGAATGTGCTCCAGAGACAAATTTCAAACTTAGTTAAACTATTCCTTAAAGGAAAAAAAAATTACTGTATTTTATGAAGTTAAACTAGGTGTTACATACAGAACACAGTTACAGCCAGTTTCATGAACCAAAATTAGAAGAATGGTGAGGTCTGTAAGAGCACGAGAGCTTTCAAACCGAACCAGAATCCAAACCCTCCTTTTGAATCAGATGATCACAGCTCACCTGGTAGATGCTGCAGCCGTCTCCAAGGCAGGACTAATCTGACATTTCCACCGTAAGATGCTGTACTGTACACTTTGCCATGAAGGTCTAGTAGTCATTGTTTAGGTTCCAGTCCTCAATCAGGGAAAATAATTCTCCTGCAAGCCTAAATTAATTTATAATATATATTTAAAAGATAGTGCTTCCTCTTTGTATGTCTGTTTTTTGGATATAATCAAAGGAACTCTGGATTAGATTTACAAGTGTAAAGAAGCCTTATAACTGGAGTAGTTTTCTATTGTAGCACAGAACCTCTTTGTAATGTGGGGCAGTTGCACCAAAATATTGGGTGAAAATTAAATTCTGCACAGCTTTGTTTTTTTGGGGTGATGACTGTCAATGCAGCCAGTCTTTTTTGCACTTCTATTTCATGATTAGGATTTTTTTAGATTGCTTTGGTTTTCATGTCCATTTATGCATGCAGAGATAACTAGAAAGGCATACATTATTTTTGTATCAGCTTTAATCTTTAAGTAAGTACTTATAATACTGACATACAGGGAACAATAAAATTATTTTAAAACTCTTATAGAGAGATCAGCAGGTTTTGGTTTTCAGCTTTATGTGTTAATAAATTAGCAGAACTGCTTTTAAGCAATCCCTTGGGATCCCTTGTGCAGTGAATGGCATGTGAACTCCACAACAGTGTACCTTGAAATACATGAAACCAGCGCGAAAGAACCTTTTGAGTAGATGTGCTGCTGCTTTCTAGAAATGCAAAACTAGCAATCAGACATAGCTTGTGTCCATTCTGTGTGCTTCTTACTGGCATTGTATGATGAATCATCTCTTTTAATATTTGCAGTGGCAAATTAATTAAACGCTCATTAAATAAAACCAACTTTATTTTAATGCTATAAAATAACCAGTTCATTTCATCTTAGTTTAAGTCTTTTTTCTTTTTTTTTTCCCTTTTACTGCTGTCATTTTTTGTGCTTGTTTTTTTCCCCAGTGAGGGTTGTCGCCGAGAAAATACAATGAAGAATGTTGGATGTCGCAAGTATGCATTTAATTCCCTGCAACTGAAGGCTTTCCCAAAGTATTACAGGCCTCCAGAAGGAACTTATGGAAAAGTTGAAACATAAGCATACTATGTCCTTTAATTGCTGTTCCATTAAAACATGTGGATACACTCTAGATTAACACATGATTTTGTCATCCAGAAGAGATAAATAACCTTTTTGTATGTTTCGTTAGGTCATACAGAGCATGTTACTGAATTGGAATCTATAGTAACAATTATTCTGACACCTTAGCTTGAGAATAGTGTGATGACTCTCTGCCCGTTTCAATAGCCTTCAGTGTATGTAAGATGAGCAGATACTGTGCTACTTAATAATTACCTATATGCAAATAGCTAGGTACCTCCTGGATGGGCAAGGACTCTAGGAACGGCATTTAGGCAGCTGTTTCCATGACATCTTTTTATACTGCGTTGATTTCAGATTGAGCTTTTCCTAAACTTTTTAAAACTGAGAGTAAAACTCAAAAGTTGTAAATAAAAAGGATCCTAGACAGTTTAGTAACTGTAGAACGCATTGTTACAATCAGTAAAAGGGGGTTTGATTAAAAAAAAAATCAGCACAATAAGGGCCAGGAGAAGGAATTGTTTTACTGTATATAGGATGCCACCTTCATGTATGAAATTAACAATATATAAAAGGCCAGACATGTGAGGTCTGGTTTATAATTCTGTTAAAATACAAATTCCTGTCATCTTTGGCAGATAAGGCCTGGGGCACACAACTGATTTTTAAAAATATTTCAGAAACGTGATGATGCTTAACTATTAATGCCAGCAACAGTTCCTCATGCCCTTCCCCACTCTAAGGCAAGTGCAACAAGCAAGTTGCTTATGTTGCACATGATGTGTTCAGAATATTCCATGGTGTTGTACATTAATTAACACATTTTTACCCATGGTTTTTTTATATCACTTCTGGATTGTAAGCCTCAGTATCTCGGGGCGTTACGTTATTTTGGTCAGTGTACGATTTTTCTGTATCGGTTTTGTATGTCATTACCAAAATACTCAAAATGCCCAATGCATTCCCCCTTGCTCCAAAATCAAAATTGGTTTCTGTTTACCTTTGCATTTCACCTGTTGAGAGTCCTGGTGGGGGGAAGTGTGGCCGGTGTCAGGGTATTTCTGAGGAAGGTGGCATTGCCCTGTGTTGACAGAGAGGAACTGCTCAGTGCTACTGCTTGTGCCTGAGAACCACAGGTGGGTTCTAGCTTATGACAAAGGTGGTCAGTTGGATAGCATTTGATAAAAAATGTTCAACAGATCTCCTCTGAAATAATCTCCCAAAGAATGCCTTTGAAACTAAGATAGCATTTTAAAAAGCAGCTAAACATTCATTTCCAAATTTTAACAGGATCCAGTAATCTCTAGCTAGTTTCATTCAGCACATGTCCTTTCCTTCTTGGTTTCTAAGGATCTGAGTTTTAGAATAGAAAAAATCTGTCCATTTATTCTTGTGGGAGTAGCAACAGCCAGGTAAGTATGTGGCTGTTTTCTGATTTCTTTCTCCCTCTCACTGATGTTTGTCTGTGCTGTCACTGCTCTATCAATCAGCCATGTTCATTCTGCTCCCATGTAGGTTTGGGGGTTACAGGTCCAGCAGTTTTTGCATTTTGCTTTTTGCAGTTTAACACTGAGCAGCATGTCACAAAGCCAGGTCAGAGAGTTCTGCTGAACTAGGCTGTTACCATTATTACAGACTCTTTAGGATAACAAAACATGGAATTCTGTGTAAAAGCAATGTATTGTAGTAGCTACCCCAGGTCTGAACAAATCAGCTGCAGCAGAACAGTCCCTCAGAAATGTTACAAACCCTGTTTGCCAATTAATGAATGTTGATTTTGTTTTATTTTTTGCTAATAAGTAAACAAATATATGATGAAAAATTTTTCAATGGTATCTCTTTAGACATGCTACTCCATTAGTTCTGCTCAGCCTTCAGTCCCTGGCCCATTATTAAATGCTACTTTATTTTTGTATAAACTATGCTCTTTATATCCCTTAGTTTTTATGAGTTGATAATTTTATTTTGTGTATTTCAAACGTGGTTAATTTTAAGTTCTTTATTGTTACACTAAAAATCTTCCGATGTTTGGCTTCAGAAGGAAATAACAAATGTCTCTTGTAACAATTAGCAGCGCCACTCTCTTAGATGGTGGCCAACAATCATTAGACCTGCTATAGAGCTTAGCAATCATTTATTTATTTTGTATAGCAATGTAATCTGACAAAGTTGCTGAATTTTGCTGAAGTTGTTGAAATTCTGCGCGCGGTGGAGCCGCAGCCCCGGGTGTCGCGGGGCTGTTCCGGGGCGCTGGGCTGCCAGCGCGGTGTCCCCGCAGTGCACCCTGGACATGGCACTGCCAGGATGGGCACAGCACTGCCAGGATGGGCACAGCACTGCCAGGATTATCATGGCACTGCCGGGATGGGCACGGCACCGCCGGGACGGGCACGGCTCTGGCTCCTCCCGAGGGCAGCGGCGACAGCAAGGGCTCGAGCGGTGCCTCCAGAGAAAACTGTGACACGTGAAGTCCACATGAGACCCTCACAAGGGGGAAGGGAGCTTTTCTGTTGCACAGGAGAGGCAAATCTAAGGATTACTGTAAAATGAAGTTCTGTCTAATGTTCCTTTTTTGAGTACATTTTTTAAATTATAAAACATACAAAGGTAAAAGAAGAAAACTGTTGCCAAGTATGTTCTGTGTATGTTCTGTGAAAGTACCTACAGCACAGTTGCCTTTTTTTCATTTATACGTGTAAAATTATTGTATTATATGACACAGTTTTGTCCCAACACGACTGTATTTGCTAAGCTTTGTGCATTTAAATATTTTTATTTATTTGGTTTTGGGCAGTATTAATATATCATAAACATATGGCTACTGTTTTATATATTCTAGTTCATCCAATCCATGTATGCTGTAAATGTGCTAGTCTTTAGGATGAAAACCAATAAAGAACTGACAAGAGTAACAATGATGGCTTACTTTTAATGCATCTGTGGTAAGTGAAAATAAACACTTTCAGGCTCCTTACTTGATACACTTTTATCTGTTGGAGAGCATATAAAGCCAGCTTGTGCAGGGAGACATTTTACACAGATGTGCAAGTCAGGAAGTAGAGAACAGCTGATACCAATTTTCTGTAGTTAAGTGAGGCACCAGCTTGTCCCACATGCTGCACATTGTGCAGCAGCAGTTAAGTAAAGAACTGATATAAGGTGTTCTTCTTCCTGAATTTTATCTACTTCCTCCGTGAATATTCTGTAAGAGCTTCCTGAGCTTTTTTCTCTGTTCTTTCACTTTTCCTACCATTAGCAGAATTTTTTCTCTACTGCTGTTTCCCATTGAGCCAACTCATCCCTCCAAGTAGCTGTAGCAGTTGGGCTGGTTTTCAGCAGGGACAGGTTGTTCTTGTTGATTCTCATTTGGATTTCAAATTAAATAAATTTTATATAATAGTGTAACAGACAATAATTCAGAGCACTCTGATATCTGTAAAATGTGAAGAATAGAACACAAAAATATAATTCTGTTTCCACTGGGAGTTTGAGAACTGCCAAACAGAATTTTCTTTGTGTGAAAGAGGGCTGAGGAGCATTGGTGGAACTCAGTGAATTAGTTTTTTTAGTTATATAAAAGGAAAAACAATAGAAGATAAAAATGCACACTGCTTTCATTCAAAATGCAGAAAGATGCTTGACAGGTAGGAATTCCTGAACTTCAAATGCAAAATCAGATGCATATATATATATATTTTTTTTTTATTTTTCCTTAATTTTAAAAGGTGGGGTGTTTAAAGAATGGCTGAAAATCTGGGAGCAGCAATGGCCACTTGCTCTGCTGAGGAGCAGAACTCCATCTCTGCCCATGACTTCTGCTGCCCTCAGGCAGGGCTTGAAGTGCTGGTACAGGCACCCACAGCACTTCTGAAGGGATTACCTGATACCACAGATGTGCTTAAAGTCTGAAACCTGTACTCTGATAAAAGAGAGGGAATACTCATAGATGAAACACAAAAAATGCATGAGAGAATAGAAAACCAAGAAGGGTACAACAAAAAAATAGCAAACCACCAGAGAGAGTCCTCATCAGAAGAAACTGTATGTAATTTTGGTGACCAAAGGTGAGCTTTTTCAACCTTTTTCAGTTTGTGGAATGCATGAGAGAATAGAAAACCAAGAAGGGTACAACAAAAAATAGCAAACCACTTGTTTCAACCAGAGAAGAGTCCTCATCAGAAGAAACTGTATGCAATTTTGGTGATCAAATGTGAGCTTTTTCACAAACCTTTTTCAGTTTGTGAATTCCTAAATATATCTAAGACTTGTATCTTAGAAACTTTGTGTCTATATATTGTTGCTGACTGCATGTGGGTTTGTTTAAATTATCTCTTCCCAATGAACTACAAGACTTTTAGGCAATGAAGGGGGAAACATAACAGCAACCTCTTTTTCTCACATTGCTTTAAATGTCAGGAAAACTTTCCCAATTCATGAAATATTTTGCCCTTCAGAATTCGGGATGGATGCAGTTTATCCATTTATTCACAATGGGATTTGAAGAGGGGTAAGCAGGAATGGGTAAGTAACAAGAGTGACTGACATGGACACAGGGATCACCTGGGACCTTTCAGCCTGGACACCAGGAATGGCCATAACCCTGAATGACCACAGGAAACTGATGGGAGTGTGGTGTTAATAACACCAAGGTGGGGGGATTGATCCCTGTATGGGCCATTTGCTCAAGAGTTGGACTCATTGTTCCTGGTGGGTCCTCCTGACTCAGAATGCTCTGTGATCACTGACACACCGGGGAGGTTTGGCAGCACCAGGAGCCAGCCAGTGTCACCCTCTTCCACCCACAGCCACCTGCACATTCCCACCTACACTGGGTGTCCTGGCCAGCCAGAGAGGCCCCACAGTGGCCACTGCCTTCCTCTGGGCAGAACAGCAGGTGGAAGGGAGGGAAGGAGGGAGGGAGGGAAGGAACCGCTGTGGAAGCGAGGCTGGCCTGGTGGCCTGGTGCTCACACACGTCCCCTCATGGGCAAGGGCTGCTTGGCAGCACA